ATTCGGAATATCGCATCGGTAGAGACGGGCAGGGGCGTGCCCAGCCATTCGCATCGGTGGGGGAAAAGTGTTTTTCCGATGGAAAAATCCGTCAATAAGGAGGAAATCAAAGAATGCCGCTTTAAAAGTCCACCGCAGTAGTATGGCCCCCTTGCTCCCCCCTGAGCACGCCACTCGACACGAGTCCTGGATGCGCTCCAGATCGGAAGGCCGTCCTGTCGCCTGCGATACTTCCACGCATGGGTACAATACTTGTATTCGCCGGAAGGCTCCCGATATTTTTGGGGCTCAGCCGCCGATAGTGGATGGGTAATCGATACAATGCTTCATCCGCTTGCCCTCCATACCTACCTCACCATTTTGACTCATTGAGTCAAGGTTTCCTACTCGAGTAGTGCTTTTTGACTTTTCATTCATGCGCGCGAAGTCCATTCATCTTCGCGATCATCCTGGTAGAAAATGCTCTGCTGCCAAGATTCTGTTTCCACGATGCTCCGCTTCGATCAATCCGAATCGACGGTTCCGCCATCCCAACCAGTGACGCGAGAATGGAAACGGTGGATTAAGTCTCATTCAGCGCCAGACTACACTTTGCCCTCGGGTGGAAAGATTCTTTCACCGACTGGAGAGAGTTCGAATGTCCCAACAACGGGTACTGAGAAAACTTTCCAACGTAACTAGTTATCCTCCCTCACTCGTCGCAGGCAGATTCGGAATGGAATTTCAGGAAGGAAATTCATGCGGAGCTTTCCCGCAACTTCCCGTCGATCGGTGTCCTTCCCTGCAAAGAGTTTTGCCTTCCTGCTCCGGAAAGTTTTTCCGATAGATCTGAGCTTCTATATTTCTAGGACATCAATATGGAGGAAATGGAAGGAAATATCTCCAGCTCCGGCTCTTTCCTCTATCCTCGCATTCGATCTGTAGGCTGTCCCGAATGACGACAGCAGACCCCGATGGTTCGTGAGGGACATCGAGGAGGGGACTCGGTTCTTCCCGATTCAATCCCACCCATGAGTAGCAGGGAACTCGCAGGAAAGGGGAAGGGATTTCGAAACTTCTCTCGTCTCCCGGATTCCACGAAGTAGAATGAGGATCGAGATCAAGTTTCCATGAAGTCGAGAATCGTTGGATTACGAGGTCGCACGTCTGAGTTCCATGTCAAAACCCTAAAACTTCGCACCCTTCCCGTTTCTTGTTTGTTGCCGCCAGGGCTGGGTTACAGCCTTTCCATACACTGCACGTCTGGCGTGCCAGCGACTAACAGAAATCTCTCCGCTCTTTAGTGTACTCTTCGACGAGGAGGGAACTCGGCGATGCTTTCCCATTTGAGTCGCCTCCTCTCCTGAGTCCTTTGTCTCGTGTCCATGGCGAGCAGCGATCCGCACTAGAAGCGTGATAGAGTGCGTGCCGGCCGCTGTTATCTCCCAAGATCTCGATTCAACCGCTGCCGCTGTCATCATCCCGTCGCCCAGGGATTTTCATTTCGAGTCTCTCGAAAGACGACACGGCAGCAGCGTTGATCTTAGTACCAGATTCCTCCCTCCTACCACGTTGTCGCCCTCTCAGTGGTCGTCGCTGTTGTCATCGTTGTCGTCGTCGTCGCCGCCGCCGTCACTAAGAGTGTCATAGTCTTCGAGCGAGTAATCTTTTGCGTCCGTGCCGACGGGAGGCGTTTGACATTCTCGTACCAACAGATGCTCCTTATCCGAAAAGCCACAACAGCCCTTCTGGCTTAAGTTCCGTGAATTGTGCGCGCCGACAACACATCGGGCCATCTCAGGTGTTCGTTTGGAGCGAAGGAGGGGATATACAGGAGCACATGAAGCGCCGTTGATACCTGGAAAATTTTCCGTGACCGTGACCAAGTGGGGGCCGATTCGAGAGTCCGCCCTGCTGTGGGGTATCCTCGGGGAACGGGGGTGCAGGTTCAGACCGGACGAAAATTCGCCTCCTCATTGAGAGGAGAGAACCGCCAGTGATATCAAGTTTTTGTGTCAGAAACTGTTGCATCGATCCCGATTGTGAAGTTCAGTCGGGAGGCTCCCCGTGGGCACGACTCCACTGAAACATTGGAGCACTTAGTGACCTTTGGAATTGTGTTACATCACGGACGAGGATTACGGATCGGTCGGAGGATAAATCCTAAAACTGTCCTGAATGTCAATGCGTGACCATATTCGATCAGGTGAGGTGATTCCGGTGAACTGTCTGGCCCGCGGTAGTCTACCCGGTCATCGATTCAGTATGGCTATGCGTAAGCCCGATGTAGAGACAATCTCCCGAGCGTGGATTTCGCGAGAGTGACAATGACAAACGTTTGAGGAGTTCGGCCGTTCACTCGTCTCGGAAGAAGATCTGAAAGAAGGCCATCACAGAGCCCAGCTCACTGGATCGGTCTTCGGTCGATCTGCCTCCGCACAGTATATAAGCTGTTGATTACGACAAAAATAAACATAGCAAAATATGTTTATAAGAGTGAGTCTCGCAAGCAAACCGCGTCGGAAGATTTCAAAAGCTGAGCTACGGCACCGTAGAGAATGCGATCTGTTTGAGGAAGATCCGCGAATGTTATTCACATTGCGATTTCGTCTACTTCGTTGTCAATTGTCCTGTGGGCTGTGGGGCAACAATTTATTCAACTTTCTCGTTCTCATTTTGATGATATCCCCCCCCGCGCACCCCTTCCTGTCTCGGAACGCCGATTCATGAACGTTTTTTCACTGTCTTCGGGGAATAGAATACCTTCGCGCATCAATCGTCCTTACGCACCGACTTCATGGACGAATGAAAGCGTGATGGAGTCATCTCTCGCCGATGACCCGTGAACGGAGCGTTCCACGGTCTGGAAAGTTTTTCCGAATTCTTATGACGTAAGATTATTTGACTTGAGCAGACAACTTGCGTCAACGCTGATTAAGCATGAGCAAAGACACGATCGAATTTCCTATGCGGATGCCTCTTACACCGAAGTCAGCCGCGCATAATCCCGATTTCGTGAAAGGAATTAATTCTTCTACATGGAATAAATCTGCTCGACACCCTACATCTCTGTCGCGTCTCTGTCTCGAAAGACAGGACAGTCGGACAGAGTATTCCGAGAAACGTCCCGTGCATTCCTCCGAGAGAGTAGAAATTCTCCATGATATATCGGGCGCGTCGGATTAAACTAGCGGGCAGAAAACCACCACCTCTGCTTCCTCACCTAACGGAAGTACCTATCCTCGGGATCCTTGAGATTTGGATTCGAGAATATACGCTGATTGTACGGGAGTGAGTTAATTGTTCGGAATGAAAGAAAAAAAAGCAAGGGGAGTGACTTCGTGGGAGCCATATCATATGAATCGACTCCGGTGGCATGAGCATTGAATTCTATCTCCCCCGAGCTGCACATTACCAGGACGTTCCCTATTGATGAGCTTCGCCGACAAGAGGAAATTGTACGGAGCGGCTCACCCCGCCAAGCGGAGGAAACTCGAGAAAGCTGCTTTTGAGCGATGAAAAACTTTCGGGCCGTCGACGTCGGCTTGAGCTGGGATGGAGAACGATAGCTGAGAATGCTCGTGTCCGCGGGAGCTGACAAGTCTATTCCATCACGGAGCTTCGATACATCTGTCGAAGCACTCACGACGAAAGGCAGGATTACCGTTGAGGGTGAACGGATTATCCCGATCGGGATTGCTCATGTCGCAAAGACGTTTGTCCCCGGGTCTGTTGAGGGTGCCCGTTTTCCCATCGAGGTCCCCGTCGCGTAATGAGACCCTTCCCCGTCACTGATCGGGCAGTCGCCGGATTTTCAGGAGGCCTGTCGTCGGCATCGAGATGAGCTCGTGAATATCAAATCCCAGCATGGGGCCAACGTGGTTAGTGGGGGTTCAATTCTGGGTTTTCCGATGGGCACGAGCATTCACTCGTTACATTGCGGGCGGTGCCATGTGAACGTTGAATCCCGGAATGCGATCATCCCAACGGGGGAAACGATCACCGACGATAAGATAGCTCAGGCAATGTTGGCCGTGTACGCGCGTTTAGAGGAGAATCTCGGTCCGATAACTAGAAGGATGTCGGAGCGAGATTCTTCTCCGACAAGAGAGATCGAACGTCGACACTTCCGGGACTTATTCGAAAATTCTCCGGGGAGCTCGGTCCTTAGGAGAGTTTAAACCCGGAAGATCGCCCCGGCTGCCGATGTTCGCACGCTCGCTTCGGTCGGCAACGCTGGCCGTACTCGCTCGGGTCAACAAAAAACAAGCTGGCTTAACGAAGAATGATTCCATGGAAACCCTCGGCACGAAAGCGGCAGTTGTTAGTCGTGTCACTCTTGAAGAACCACTCAAAGTGGAAGTAACGCTAACAGATCGTCGAACGCTCGCTGGACATATCTGCGATCTTATTCACGGGTAGTACCGGATGGTGTTCCCGTGCTCTTCCACCAGGCCAGCGGTGGATGAATTCACTCAGGTGAGACTCCCAATGAGTCGTGTGGTCGTAGCTGATGCTGAGCCAATCCGATCGCTGAGAATGGGAGGCGATCCGATTCGGATCGAAGGACTATCAATTGGATCAATGAAGAGATGATGCAATTTCAGAACTACTTCTCCGGGCCCTTTCCGGAGATAATCTCGTCTCAATTCGCTCCACCCGCATAAGGCACGGGGAAAACCGCACGTCAAAATTCACCCGCGGGAGAGGAGGGCTGGGAGCTTTGGTTATACGACACACCCAGTAGTTCTTTTTCTTCTGTGAAGTGATTCCGACTTTTAGAACGCTACTCAATCGACGGCCGGGCCGAGCATTGGAAGAATTTCGTCTGGGAGCGAAAGTGCACCGCTTCTAAGACGGGATCTCCAGCGTGCTTGGACTTCATCTTTTGGACAAAGTTCTCTCTACCTCTGTCATGTTGGATATCGGTGCCGGCTGGGAGTTCTCGGAAGAGCCTTCCACGATCATTGAACGTTCCCAAAAGTTCCTGTGACAATTCGTCGGTTATCTGAAGGTGCACGATGACTGCTTCTGGATACGTATACCACTTCTTGAAGACCAATGAGGTTCGCATTCAAAACCTTTTAGAGACAGAGGGGACCAATTCCATTGATTTCAAAGGGCATATCCCGGATTCGCTTTGGAATGTCATGGAAATTTTGTCGGAGTGGTCTCCAGAGCGGTAAAGGGCGAATATCCCCTCTTATGACGAGGAGGTTTATCTGCCCAAGAATGAGCGCCGGTAGCGTTGCCGCATCGTGCCCGAGCTCAGGACGGTTCTCGGAGTTCGCTTCGTTCAGGAAGTGACTATTCCCTCATGACCAGTCGAGAGTTCCGGAACCCCACGGCCGACGGCTTGGCGCCTTCTCTCATGAGTAAATTAAAGGCTCATATGACGCTGAATTTGACGCGAATGCGGTCACTTGGAAATCCGGAGAACGCGAGAACGACCTTCGTGACAGAGGAAATCGCCAGTAATGGGCAGGTTTGATTCAGAACTACTCGCAAGAGCTGTAAATCATCCCGATCAAAAGAAAGGCGAACATCACCCTGGATCACGGGGTTTTCTCAGTACTCTTCCGGATGAGAGTGGACTCTGTTCCTCCTTAGCGCTCTTTGAGTCTCAGAGAGCTGCTACCGAACGCTGTATTTCACAGTCTCTCAGGCTCGTCTATCTGCCTGTGGAATTACGCCGTCGCGCTGATTATAGCGAGGTGGCTTCCATAGTGATATAGGCATTCACATTGTTGGGACATAAGCAGTTCGTGTCTCAAGGAAGATGCCGATTCATGCGATCAATCAGCGAGGAAACTCATGTAAGGTGCCCGCCTTATGAGTCGTTTCGTATCGGGATGGCGCGGAGTTCCTATTTTCTACGGCACTCGAAAAGATTTCCAGTTTGAGTGCAATACCAGTACCTACCTTGGAATTAGAGATAAAATATCCGTTTTCTAAGGATCTATACAAATACTGCGCCTGGTGAAATGATTCCGATGCGCTCCGGAGGGGGAATCTTGTGCAATATCTTCGGCATTCCGAGCCGTGACGATTCGCATCTGGGCTGTCGATGGCGTCTGACGTCTGCCCATACGTATTTCCCCTCTCAAACACCGAAAAATTGAGCGTGGTTGCATTGCGACGAATTATTTTTCCGGGACGAGAGGCCTGTAGGTTTCTCAATATTCCTCGGGAAAGATCATGGCCTCGACAAAGTTTGAAATAGTCGGAGCCCGATTCCTGAGCGGAGACAAATTCCGAAATATATCGAAGGGGCTCGAAGCTCACGGAAATTCCGCCGCGCCTATCATCCCAACGTTCGGAGAAACTGCACCGTAGATTTCTGAAGAAACTCTCCAATCGTTTGAGAAAGTTGAATCAACCGTCGACGGGTCGAAAAAGGAACACGCGTCGCGTACATTCTGGGCGAATCTCCTTTTACGAAATTGGAGTAATCTCGGAGCCGCGGATTAATTGCCACTAATGATACATTCTAATGGCAAACCGCAGGCTGATCCCGGACCACGAAGCGATCTCCAGCCACATCCTAATCACAGCTCGTCCGAGCAATGATACATCAGAACCGCAATAATTTGGATGAGAACTGAAATTGGTTATTGATCTTTTTGGTAACCCCTCGATCAGCTGCTCGAATGATCCGGACAACCGAGACAGTTTAGAGGTGATGGATGCCCGCTTCGAAACGATCCAGTGAATGCTCTCCAAACAGTGAAACTTCCAACTTAATCTCTGCCGTGTACCCTATCAAATATCAGATAGCTTCTCCGCGGAGTCTCATCCGTGACGTTGGATCTTTGGCGTAGCGCCGTGGCTGTGGTACGATGCGCAGATCCGTTGAAGCGATTCTCACTGTTTTGCTTCGAAACATCCACATCAGCGTACCGTAACGAAATATTTCGAGAAATCATTCACTTCGACGATTCGGAAAACTCCACCTTTAGCCGTAAGCCTAAAATCCTTCCAGCTAAAGCGTGGAGAGAAGGTCTTGAATTCAGTGACGACGCCGGTGTTGATGACAAATGGCGAACTGCTCTGCAGATACGATAATGCAAATTCTTCTCGGCTCAGACAGTCAATCGTTATTGACGGGAGGAAGCGTGGGCGTCTGACAAACCGCCCATCGCGGGTCCCAATCAGACCTTGCTACTGTTTTCTCGCTTAGACTTGAAGAAGAAAAAATTCCCCGCGAAGCTAGCCCGTTGCTATCAAGCTGCGGAGCTGATAATCGAGCGAGACCCTCGTTCGAGAGTTGTGCCGATGTCGATCATGAGAAAAGTTACATCTCTTTTTAGATTTACTCTTCACATGATCGGACGGAATTCCTCCTCTAAATAGATTCTACTCCTTTCCAGGAAAGCTTATGCGATGAAGAGAAGATCATGTATGACAGAACAATCGCGAAAACGGGTCACATAAATAATGGTGAGAGCAATTCCCTGACCGAAACACAACAGCCAACACAAAATCCTGCAACGAGAAGATCTGAATCGACTCCGAGCCGATGAAATGGAACGAGCCAGTACAGCCGGACGTCCGCGGGCTTTCTTCGGACAGGTCGAAGTTTCCCTGCCCTCCGATCTCGATCCGTCGTACAGACGGAATGAGTTCAGCCTCACACTCTCCCTCACGATACAGAACAGGCAGACTGTCCTCACATCCAAGCGGTCGGAGAGCCCTTTTACGGAGGGTTCCATCTTGCGTGCGTCACTCGGCTTGACCATCGATAGCTCTCAAGTTTCGCGACTGGGCAGTCAATCGTACCGGAATCGGCCTTCTCTCTTCCTGCCATGAGGCTGTTCGCTCATCTGGTAGTTAGAATCCTTTTAATGGCCGCGTCTGTAGCTTTTGATCGGTAGTCGATTATTGCCCGAGCGGAGATTGTCGGGCATCGAATTTCAGTCCACTGCTCAATCCGAGTCATCGCACATTGGCCAACATCGAGTGAAATCGATTCATTATCGCCTTTTTACATAATTCCTCATTGACGTGGACCGATCGAAGGATTCGGCTTCGATCGACCCCTCGAGAAGTCAAGGTCTCCTCGGGAAAGCGTGTACACCAAGCCTCTCGAAACAGCCGTGATCTCTGTGTGCATCTACAATTTCTATTTCAATCCCCAGAAGAACTCGATCGCACCGCGCACGACATGGGGCCAGGGGGAGGGCTGTTCCTGGTCGTCAAACAATCGATTGGTGAGAGCGGGGGTATCGAGAGTTAGGGATAAATGACCATGGATCAGGAATCAGAATGGGCGGGAGATTCCTACCAGCCTGAAGCATCTGGGTAAACCTCTCCCTCCCCCAATTCTTTCAGCCAGCCTCGGAAGCCATAGCTTACCGTCCTCGGTGATCACCGAGCAGCTGACGACAGATGTCGAAGAACAAGTATTCCAGCGCAGCTACCTCAATGTGAGTAAAGCGAATTTTCCGTATTCCGGATACGACTCTGCCCGTTCTGAATCGTCACTGAATTCTGTTGCGCTAAGAGTTAATTTTGGATTTGCTGACTGATGATTTTCTTCGTCTGAAGCGAACTCTCAAGACAACCGACACGGAGAATCTTTATCGAATATACAAGAGACGGGTCCACCACACGCTCATGGTAAGCGCTCTTTCAAAATTTGATGTTCCCGCCCCCTGGATTGATCAGGTACCTAATCGCGATCTTCGATCGGAGGCCGCAATGGCTGAGACCTTGGTGAGAATTCGGAAGTTTCATCCATAGGTCGTGTATCTCATCGTCTGCACGGTCTGTAATTTCTTTCCCGTTCTGCTCGCCCTGCTGACGCTCGCCAAAGGACAACAGTTTGAGGTGAGCTGGCCCATGAAACAAGAATCTGTCTCATAAACCTTCATTCTTCGCACAAAGTCTCCGGGCATTCCGGTCTCTTTCGAGTATCTACTACATATTTATCTAGCCGTGTCGGCCCTGAAGGACACTGACGTACTTTGATTGATTGATCGACGATATCCGATTCGTTTGACAGCCTCCCTCTGAGCGCACCCGGTTCACCGTTGTGCCGATCGTCACTCGATCTGTGGCGCTCGTTGTTGATATTGTGATCTTCTTACTCGCTCTGAGAGAACGCTTTTTTCGGCGAGAAGCGACAAGACTCGTGGTGAGCCTGCTTCTCATAGCAGTGGGATTCCTCGCCGAATACGGAGCTACGCTGCACGATTTCGTTTGGGGCGTAAGTATACTCTGGGGACCCCACGCCCCGAAGACAAACAATTTTCGCTCGCAATTCTACGAGAAACTCGATGATGCGTCGTCCTCTTCCTAACATTGTTAGGTCTCACTGTTTATCGTATTTATTCCAGACAGAAGACACATTCCATGATGGGCCGACGAGGATACGGAACTCGTTCTGTTTCGTCTTGGGTGTTACGATATTTCTGCCGTTCCCGAAGAAGAAACAAGCAGCCCTGGCCGGGCTCGTGCTGGTGCTCATTGAGTTCGGTGTCTCGTTTCGAATCTATAGTTCACATAAGGGACGGACGAAATTCGTGAGTCTTCCAAGCAATGGGGCAACGACTGATTGGGATGGCTTGCTTGCACTTATCTGTTGATTGGATTCGGCTGAAATCGCCCCCACGTGCCTTCCTATTGCACCAAGCGTATTCTCCTTCATACCCTTTGGTATCTTACTCGCCGACGTTCTGACGGGGGGTCTCTCCCCACTCATTTGCTCCGTGCGACTGCAGCATTTCTAAAGTCCCTATTCACTTCTAGGTTGCGGCGGAATTCGTGGCGCATTTGATCGCGTTATTCGTTGGCTGTTATGTTCGCTTCCTAATGGATATAACAAATAAGAAATCCTTCCTGGACAGACGAAACCTCCTTCGCACCAAGTGCAAAATCAATTTCGAGAAAGTAAGCTCGCGGATGCTTTTCTGCATCTTCAATGACAGAGAAGGGATCGAGAAACTCATTTCATCGGTCCTTCCAGGAGCGCGAAGAACATCTCATGTTATCGATAATGCCTAAATGTGAGACGACGGAGAAAGTTCGCAGAGATCTCCGCGATCGCATTGTCAAGCTCAAAACAAATCAACTAGTTCAGCGACACGGCTTCAACGAACTCTACATCCAAGAGCATCCGAATGTGACGTGAGTGAGCCCTCCGACCCGGAAGGGTCCCGCTCCCTCGATATATTTCGCTCTTCGGGCCTAAGATCTCTCACCTCTTCCAACTCATTCCCAGGATTCTCTATGCCGACATCGTGAACTCGATGCAGCTCGCGTCTGCTTTGAACCCGGCGGCGTTGCTGGAGACTCTCGACCAACTTTACGCCAAGTTCGACGAGCGAGCGGAGAAAATAACTGCCTCAGGATCAAACTCCTCGGGGACTGTTACTATTGTGTGTCAGGTGCGTGACGGGAAGTTGGAAGCGGAGCGACTTCGAGGAACCCACAAGTCGTGCCGTACTGAGGGGGGTGGGAAACGGGATGATTCCAAGGGAGAAGTAGGCCGTATTCGCTCAACCGTGAAACGCATTCCATCGCAGGAATTCCCGAGCCTCAGGAAAACCACGCTAACAACTGTGTAAACATGGCGCTCGACATGATCGAGATCATCCGTCATGTTAGAGAGCAGCGGGAAGTCGACGTCGATATGAGGATAGGAATCCACACTGGTAACGTGCTTAGTGGGGTTCTCGGTCTAAAGAGGTGGCAGTTCGATATCTGGAGCATCGATGCTCAGATAGCGTCGCACATGGAACAGAGCGGCAAACCCGGGTAAGTACGAGAGTAGATCTCCGCTCCGAGCCTGGCTGAAGAGCCTCCGGAAATAATAATAAGCACATATTGTACCGCTTCTACATCCGCGCCGTATGACGGAGATCGCGGGAACACTACTACTTGTCGACGGTTCGCCTGCGTTACGAGCTCCGAACTCTCGCTGCAGGTGTGTACATATCACGGAGAAAACCAGGGAACAGTTGCGGGGCTCCTATGATTTGCGGGACGGGACCGGAGGCGATGAATTCGTCCAGCAAACTGGTTTGCAGACATTCTTCATCCATCCTTCGCCGAGGCTCACCGCGAAGAGAACGTCTACCTTGGGCAGGTGGAGTGGAAACGTAATTTATTCCGAGGTGAGGGCACCCTTCGACAATGAATAGTCTGCAACTGAGTATTTCCGGCAGCTGTTATGTTTCCTTCAAAATCGAATGTTCACAGTTCAAGGAACATGGCATAGAGCTCCAACAGTTAGATTCGAGCGTAGAAACGAAGAGGAGCGCCATCAAAGGGAGGAACTCAGCCGACACCATCAGTATTCCGACGGAGAACGGGAACCTAGCTCCTGCCGGTGAGCAGATCCAGTCATTTTTCTTATGCTTGATAGAAGAGGCCACCGAATGAGCTAGTTGAGTGACTCGAAGAGCCAATTACAGCTGCGAGCGCGCCTGTCAGCCGAAACGGGAGCATATTCATAAAGAAACAGAACTCGATATCCGCCAGAGCCCGCAACTTCATTGGGTGAGTCGAAACTAGGTCGCATTCTCGGCGGCGTCGTGTTCTCTATTTTGAAGTTATAAGTCGACTGAGAAGATTTCCAGACTGATGAGCTTCGAGTTTCTCCTTTGTGGAAAGTTCGGCCCCTTCCTCGAGTTGAGTAGAACTTCCATTCCAGCTACAAAAGAGGATCAAGTCTGGACACCATGACGATCCTCAGGCGGCGTCAAACTAATATCCTGGATAGTTCGATGCAACAGTTCCAGAGAATGGTCAGGGAAACCAATACGATGTTAGAGAAGGTTCGTTGCTTTATCGCGGCTAATTCGTCCCCCCTAGTCGCATAATTGAGAATTTCGAATCCCGAGCTTTCGGATTTTCCTCAGGAAATCTATCGCATGAAGCTAAGCAAACGTGACCAATGGTTGCGTCCCGATGGAATCCATCCTTTATTCCTGACATTCACCGAGAAGGGTCTCGAAGGTCTTTACACCAAACAACCAGATCCCCTCTTCAGGTTTGATTAATTTCTATTTTCCGCAAACGAACTTAATGGAATCGGCAGTGGGAGGACTGAGCTCTCGAGTATGAGCCGGGAGGGGACTCATGTTCGAAATTCGTCCTGTCTCCCAGGTACTACCTTCTCTGTCTCCTGATTGTACTGGTCGGGATGACAGTTGTGCACTTTACTGTGATATCCTACGGCACGGCGCCGATATGGAGTGTAACCTTCTACGCGATAACTTTCCTGGTGGTCCTCGGTGTCAACATAGCAGCGTGGACCGGCTTTGTTTGGGTGAAGTTGATCGTGAGTATCTCCATCGTCCCATCAGAGCCTCATATTTGTGATTCGAGCTCACCTATTGCTGATCTTCACTATGATTCCTCGATCAGAAAAAGAATGAAGAGCTGTCGCGATTTCCTCGCGCCCTGCACATGAAGCTCGGGAACCTCATCACTCACAGCAGGAAGCTCCGCCTGCTCATTTGGCTGGTCTGCTCCTTTTTCATAATTGTCCTCGCTCTCATGGGACTCGCTATAATGCCCAACTCAAGGAACAATGCTAACAATGCGGTAAGTTCCTCAAATGTCAAGCGGCGAAAATATTCAGGCTCATATATAGGGGGAATCTCGGGAGGGGTTCCCTGATGCTCTGTAAAATTATCATATTCCCCTTGTTGAAGCTCAAAACCCCTACCACCACAACAACCACATCGACGACAGTCATACCCTTCGCCATAGACGACTCCTTTTCTTCTGACGCGGAGATCAACGCAGCACCTGAAGACCAGATTCTACCATGGGTGAGAGGACTGATGATTATGCATTATGAGTATCGGATCGCTTCTGGCAGAAATCGGCCCGATTCACGATTCAGGCTCAGATTGCATGGAGAGACCGAATGGCCCTCTTCATTCTCGGACCCTTTTCATTCTCGACGAAATCTCTCTCTCTGACTCACAGAGCTACACGTTCTCGATCATACTTTCGATGACCGGCCAAACCGTGTTCCTCCGGATCCATTTCATCTACAAGCTGATCCTCAACTGTCTGGCAATCGTCTGCTACGTTGTTCACTACGATCAGAAAAACTCTTCCGCGAACCCTCTATTCGTATCTGACTGGTGAGTAAGCAAGCGATGCGAGAGCGGCTCAGTCGGTCACCGGAGATGGACCGAAAGAAAGCTTTCCCGAGTCTTGCCACTCCACCATTCCGGAAGGAGCATAGCCTCGGAATGAAAACGGATTATTTCGTACTCTTGCAGGGCGTTCATGAATTACGATGACACCGTTGTGTATTTCTTCTACTTAACTTACATGTTGTGTTTGTTGCACGTTTTGGATCGACAAATCGAATACATGAGCCGGGTAGACTTTCTGTCCCAGAAGGTCAGTACGTACGGCGATGAGTACACGTATATGAATGATATAATATGAGTCGTCCTTGATTACATACTCGGCCGGGACGATGTTGAATCTCGAGCTAACCATCTCCACATTCCTCAGAGGCTGGACGATGAGAGAAACGAGGCGCAGATCATGGCTCAATCCAATCATATACTCTTAGAAAACCTTCTGCCAGTACATGTGGCGAAGTATTATCTCGATAGAGACTCGAAGAACAATAATGTGAGCTCGCGTTCAGTATCACGGACAGTTCTCCGAAGACCTCCGACGCTGGAATCCCGGAGAATTCGCGGAATACGACGATAATTCTTTCCAGGATCTATACCATGAAGTGTACAAGAGCGTCTCAGTCATGTTTGCGTCGATTCCGAACTTCATCGAGTTCTACCGTGAGACGACAAACTGCTCGAAAGAAGGACCATCATGCTTGAGAATTCTCAATGAGGTGAAGAATATTCAGATCCCTCGAGCAACTCCTCTGATACGGAGAGACATTCCTAGGAAAGATAGTACATTAAGTTATTCCTACGATATCGAATTCCCCGCTACAGGTGATATGCGAGTTCGATAAACTTCTGTACCACTCCAAGTTTTCGCGAGTTGAGAAACTGAAAACTGTGGGGTCCACCTACATGGCTGCTACGGGACTAGAGCCGGGCAGGGGCTCAAATGATGTGAGTTCACAGAAACAGACTACAAAATTCGATTACAAATTCTAGAGCTGCAGGAAGATGAAGATAGTCGATACGAACGCTGACTAAACCCCCGATAACCTCTCTCTCCAGAGTTGTTTGCCTGTAGGCGATTCGCGTCGGATTCGATCGGAGGATCCCCGGAAGAACGCGAAAACTATGCTCCGTTTCGCAATCGCGATGCAGAAAGCGCTCCAGGTAAGCCTACTGTCACTGACGCGTTGTGACGCAGAATGGTGCAATAAATCCCAGGAACCACGAAATCTCGCAGCTGCCACGGCAGTTCTCATAGTACCAAAAGTCCCTGCAGATTCCAACATCTACGATTTATCCTCAGGAAATCAACCAACATTCTTGGCAGGACTTCCGACTCCGCGTTGGTATATCGGTCGGAGGCGTGATCGCCGGTGTAGTCGGGGCGACGAAGCCTCAGTACGACATTTGGGGTGATACAGTCAACATGGCGTCGAGAATGGACTCTACAGGAGAAGCGGGTAGAATTCAGGTCCGGTTCCCTCAGCCGAGATTCGTGGCGAGAATCCACGCTGATTCCGTCTGCGTGAAGGCCGAACCGGACAATCTGACTAAAGTCTGCAACGCTACCTTTTTCACAGATCACTGAGGAGGTCTACGAATTGATTCATGACGACCAAAGTTTCTCGGTTCAGGAGCGAGGAAAAATCTTCGTCAAGGGAAAAGGCAGTGTGAGGACTTATTTCCTTCGCAGCAAGAATGACTGGCTAGACGCGTCGACGAATTTGTGAAACATTCCGATGTAGGGGGAGTGATCCCAACTCCGAAACATTCGCGGCGAGCCCGATGAGATCTTTCGAATGCCCTCCCGTGTTTTTTCCCATGCCATGCTTTATGATTTGGGGGAATCGAGATTTCGCACAACTGCGAATCATTTTTATTCGCTCGAGTGCTATTGTTGAATGATGTCGGATCCATGGATATAGAGCTGTGGTCTTTCCTTGTTTAGTGATATTTTCTTGCGGATGAGAGGCAGCACATAGATCAATAAAGTAGATTTTAATATTTATTCACCCCGAACGTTCCAAGACTTTTACATATTCAATACAATCTTGGAAGATAATGTTCGAGACTCGGAGGAACTTTGATATCTATTCGGATACGCGCGGAATGAATATATTGCCTCTACCTGCGCCATAGCGGAAAACATGACTGCTTGTGAGTTCTCCAGCAGACAAGTCTGTTCGGGTTAGGACGGAGGGGGGGGGGCAGCTGTGCTGCCGTATTTGTTCTACGCTGAGCTGAGTCTGAGCAGAATAATTGTCGTGCGTTTACGATAGTGTTCGAGTGCGACTGAGCTGCCAAAGTCAATGAGGAGTAAGTTTGCGAGACACACAATATTTATAAAATCGTATCGCAGAGTGAACCTCAAGGGGGATGCGGCAGAATCATGCATTTACTCACCAGTGCAACTTGAAAGAGTTCACCGTTTCCCATTCCCCGCATGATCCGTAGGACGAATTAGACCTCGCAGGGTTCGAGGTCACTGAATTCTCCGGGAAGGAAGAAAACTTTGTATTCCTCTGAGAGAGTTAATTCGTTCTTCCATCGGAAGGGAAGGCAGGGAAACGTGCCCGGTATCGTAGAACTGGCCTGGATGAGGCTCGCTTCACTCGAACAGCCGATTGCCGAGTTGTCTACGGCGCCCTAGCTCAGTGATCCGAACGGCGCAACGCATAAGTTACAGATTGTGTTTTGTTAAGCATAGGCTAATCTGGGATATATGATTCAATAAATAAAATTCCTAATCGAGAACCGAGGATTTCTTAAGGGAGCGTTCATAGAGGAGAGTTCATCGAATCAGGCATACTTCGGACTGTGCGCATTTCGTAAACGATTCTGCATTATTTCCTTCGATGGCCCAGAAAATTCCTGTCAGCCGTGTTTTACCAGAGTACGGACGACCCGCGTTCGAAGAATGAGCTGTCATGGCTGGGATCCCCGTAAAGAATTGAATCGGAATATGATTCTGAACTAGAGCGAAAGTGATCCTCCGCAGATAGAGCTCCTAAAATACAGATGCCTCCGAGAACGATTCGCTCACTCCTAGCTTGTTTCTTACCCGTGACTTCGCTCCCAGGCCTCCAATTCCGCTTTTGAATCAGTTCATTAAGCTCATTGCTTCGATCACAGCTACCAGCTGACGTAGAATTTGATCCCGATGATGTAATTCCATACCTATCAGATTTTCGACTCCAGCTCATAAATACGATCAAACTGAGAACACGGGCATTGAGAATCCACTCACGCCGACATGCTGTGTAAAAAGTTGCTTGTGGCGAGCCTTCTAGTGGCTGTTAGCGCCTCAAGTGGCTCTTCGAACGAGTTCTGTGGCCCGGTAAATGTCGTTCTTGCCCACTCTCCTAGAGGAGCTCCAGCTCCGTGCCCTTTGTTAGAACTCTAAGCCGCGCGACAGATTTCCGCTCCTTTGAAACCCTCTTTACCGATCGAACCTTGCAGATCGAGCTTCTCGCGGGGCCTGCGGTCAACGTCGTCGGGACGTGGGATGTGAGGGTGTATACTGACGGAATCGTAGAGTGTTCCCCGAAAGGTGAGGTCAAAAACTTTTCGAAACAGTATCCTGGGAAGTCCTCAACTCATGGCGGACCGAGGAGAGTTGTCCACGGCGGGGCAGGCCATCGATCTAGGAATACAATAATTGTGTGTTTGCTTGACGCGGCTGTCGAGATCATCTCGACACCCTGAATCAGTGATTTATACGGATGTTTCCCAAGATCAGCGATGCAAGTACAAAACTTCTCCGAATGACGAGGGGATAGAGCTCGTCGTGGAAAGTCTGGTTTGGAGTCGTTCCGAGTCCGACCCTTGCGACCGAATAGTGCAGGGCAAGTTTGTACTCAGTTCCACGACCGCGAGAGGACAGGTGAGAGCTTCCTCCAGATTCCTTCGTACATTCTTCCGACCACGCTTTGCGCTGGACCCCAGACTCATCCAAATCTTTCTCCGCAGATCGCGGTCATCATCGCCATTGGCTTAGCCGGTTTCGCTGTCCTCACGGTATTTCTCGGTTGCCTCGCGTATTATTCGCATCCCGATGCTTTTTGGGGACGGATTCTGAAGCGAAGGAGGAGATCGAACCAAGCTGCAGAACCCAGGCAAGAGGTAGGGGTTCCTCCTCCAACCGTAGATCGTGAAGCAGCGGTATCGCTCGCTCTGAGTCTCGAGTTGACGCGGATCTCGTCCTAACTCCACTGACTGTTTCAGCTTCCCACGATGTCTGAGTCAGGTTTCACATCGGTAGCCCTACCCGCGGGAGCGACGAGTTGAGGCTGCCGTCCGGGAAGCCCAATGTCATCACTGATCTGTGATCGAAAATAAAAACCACCTCATTGGGGCTTTGTGACTTGTAACTCCGGGATTCGCTCCTTCAGAGTCCGTTTGCTGACTCCCACTCCCTCCCCTCTCCTTCGGCAGCGAATGGATAGGCGAGATTTTCCCTATAACTCTGATTTCGAGCTCTCCAGCTTGAGCGCTGCCGATCGTAAATCCGCTCTGCGAATCCGATTCTGAGACGGAACTGGTCTGCCTCAATTTCAAGTCGATCATTTCCTTCTCTTCTTCTCTTGCGAGAGAAGAGCGTATGACCCCGAGCTCTGATGGTCTGCTTAAGTGGAGCTCTCGAAGACAAGCCCTCCCTGTCGAGTCACGATCATGAATTGGGTCCCTCAGTGGAAGTATACTACGAAAAAACAAATGAAGCGAAGAGAATCGCCATTTTTTATGCTGTCAATCAGCGGGAGCGGCTGACGGGACCTTCAGAGCCTGAACATCGTCTCACTGGACGAGCTCACGGGCTACACGGAGGTTACTCTTTTCATTATGCAGTCGAGATGTCTCCGCCGCGCTGTTTCCGTCATTTAGGGTGCCATTCCGTCGCTTAGATGAATCCGCGGTGAACGCACGTGTCGAGTGTCGGCGCACCGGCATAAACCTCAGTGAACTTTGTCATTCCACCGGAGCCGACGGTTGGCTCATAACACTACTCAGGGAAATCTCCAGACGGATCTCATGCTCCTCATGAGGATGATGCGGTCAATACATTGAAGGATTCGATGGTTTCTAGGTTCTCAGATCTCCTCTAAATATACCCGACCCCACGATCTCCCTGATCCTACCAGAACGAGAGGGGAACTTGAGCGATGAGGAAAACCGATCGACTCCCTTCGGGAATACTCCGAATCCCCGAGGACGACGTGTATCACCAGCAGGCTGGTGAGCTCCTGTTCCATTCTGGAATTCTGATGGGGATGCAGAAAAGTTTCTCCAGACGGGAAGCAGCCCGCGAATCTCATGAAAGATCGAGAGGGCGTCCTATCCCGTCTTTGACCACATATTTCTGTCCCCAGCGACGGCGAGGGCTTCTTTTTTCGTGGACTGCCAGAATGTGGGACAGCAGGTTTCCTGCTTACACAAAGTAAGGGAGCGTGGGGGATGAGAGACAGCTCCCCAGAGGAATCAGAATTTCATCAGTTCAGTCGAAAGAGCCTCATTTTGAGACACTGACGATTTTTGCAGACCTTGTCAAGCGTAGACCATGGGGAAATCATCGAGTTCCTGTGCGTGGTATATCTTGCCGCGAGCTCGTCTGAAACTGCAGCACTCCGACGCGCTGCTTTCGGGTAAGTTCAGAAGACCGCTGGCAGTCTTTATCCCCATCATTGATTATGTCATCATGAATTTCGCGCTGGCGAAGATGATAAGTTTCTGAGTCAGATCATGAGCTCCGTGAACTTAGATGCGAGAGGTAATTGATTTCTGATCTTCTGAAGCGCTCTGCGAAATCGATCCCCGGATGAAGTGGCGCCCGTGTTATGGCGACGTATGTTGTTTCTCATGCAGAAGGAACCCGAATCGATGGCTTCCGTGAATGAACTCGCCATCCTTAGTGCATGGCACCCCCACGGTTTGCAGGCTCTCCTTCTCGGAGAGGAAAAGGTTTTCAAGTATCTAAAGGAAGCAATGGATGCTCTGAATCGGTGAGTCTCCGTGCAAGGACAAGCAATGTGTGTACATATCCCTGTCGAATCCATCTGACGAGAAGATGAGTCTGATTCGCTTCCCCCAGGCAGGGAGTTGCGACCGACCGAGAAGATGTATTCGATAAGGCGTCGAAGGTTGTTCGGTGCAGCACATTATTGGCGAAACACGGCTCCCGCAAAGAGCTTCCACCGGAGTTCGCTCGCGAGATCAAAAAGGCTCTCTTATGTGGTGAGCCGAGCTAGTCCAGTGTTCGGGTTACTCGTGATCAGCATGATATTTCCTTCCCATAGGATATATGTTCCTCGAATCAGCGAAACACGAAGAATCATTGGCGAGGAATATCTTTGCAGAGATCCAGACGCTCCCGTGCCGTTTAGCCTGTGGGATTTCCCTTCCGGAGATCTTGATCCTCCAGGAGGACGATCCAGAAGAAGTCTACAGGTCTCAAATAGGGGATCTACGAGAGGATCCACTCGCTCATGTTTGTTTCATCGCTGGTATGATCAACGTGACACCCCTGAACAGTCAGAAAATAAATTGCCGGGAGTTCTACAGAGAGCTACTGTGTGAACTGAGTCGACTCGAATCACTCGGAGGTTTGTTTCCCGATCCAACCCGAGAAGTTTGTTTGACTTACGAGAGAATCATCAACCGGGAACCCATAGGCGATTCCGACTAATTCAGTCTTCCCCTTGCAGAATTCCACAAGAAGCCCCCTTTCGCTCTGACTTGCAGTCGCACCGTACTTCAATGGACGGAAAAACTTTTGCAGTTCAGAGACCAGGTTCCAGAGCTTCTGCACGAAACCCACGAGAATTTGTTGACGATCGCCTCGCTCAACGCGGAACATTTTGTCGATGTGAGATGACGATTCTTCCAAGCCTCGTTCCTCCATGGACCAATGAGTGGACGATTTGCCTGAACTCCTCGCCTCTTCCTCTACAGGCTGTGCAACATCAGGGTAGAGCACTCATGGAGCTCGTTTTCGACGCTCTGGCAGAAACTGAGGACGGCAGATACGCCAAGTTCCTGGAATCGACGTTCGCGCGCGTGCTCGAAGAGCCTCATCACAAAAAGAGCAAATACGCTCCCTTGACGATGATCGCGAAACACATCAAAGTCGGTCCGTACCTGAATCGGAATCTGATTCGGGAAATATACGAAACTCTCAGCGAAAAGAGCATGTTTCCGTATGTTCAAGACTTCCTCAGGGACGTCGGCAGAGCGCATTTGAGAGAGAAACCCCCCGAGTGAGTGTGAACGGTCGCGGTTCAGCGTCGAGTACCTTCAAAATGTTCTGTTTCAATTCGAATGGTAAGGGAAACAAATATCTGCAGCTGGGAAGACATCTGGCTGACTCCGTTCTTCGAAGTGTTCGTCGAGGGAAGGGCCCCAATCATCGAAAACCTCGTACCAAATCTCGTCAAGCTCTATCCGTCGCTGAGTGATATAGTTCTCAAGAAATGTGATGAATTACCTGTGAATCTGCTAGCTCTGAAGCTTCTGCCCCTGGAGAAGCTCCTCGATCATCCGTCGATAATGGATGACGCCCAGTGGTCTGCGGATGAGAAGTAAGCATTTGAACGGAATTCCGTGACGTCCGCAGAGAATATCCGCTACGCCCTCCTTCGCGTATATGTACCTGCGCGGTTGGGTTTGAAAGATTATGAGCCCCCACGAAATATTCCCTTCCTTCCCAGAATGCGTTTGAGCCTCCTCCAGGTTCTGACTGACTGCCCCAAGTCTTGCGAACCTCTGAACCCCAGGATCATTAGCCATCTTGAAGTTTTCCTCAAGTTGAATTGCTCAACTCAGAGCCAAGCCTTGCGACAGGCAATGTTTTCGAGCTTCAAAAAGCTCATCCTACGAATGCATGAAAGTCCAAGATATTGGAAAAGCAGAGAACACCCGGTCTACGGTGAAGCGAAGCAGAGCGTGCTCGAGTGAGTGAATTACTCTTCCGGCTACTCGCATTCAGTGGACCAATCAGATGGATCAGTTCTTTGAGAAAGCAAAAGATGCTCGTTTCAGAAAACAGAAGGATTTTGTCATTTGGATGTTCAACTTCTGTATTGGAGAACTTCGGCCGGGCTGTAACTTCTTCACTCGTTCTACGATTCTCATGCTCCTGGAGCTTCTGTCTCCCTGGATGGGCGATCAGTGGACGCGGTCGAAGGCGGCTACGATTCTGCAATGCATAAAGGTACGTGAGACTATTCGACGATAGTCGGATAGGGAATCAGGCGTCATCCTACTTATGCTTGACGTTCAATAATGATATCTCTTTGCAGGATACGTATGAGAGCAATAAAACCGCTGTGGTGAAAATTCTGGCCACCATACCACCGGATTTGCTCCCCTACACTGGTGAGGCGGGTAATCCCGACTCGTCGATCCGTGAGATCGCCTCGAACCAAATCTCCTTTTCACCGAGCAGCCCCGACGCTTGGATCGAGCGATGCGTAGCTCTGACAAGGTCCGCGCGTCCTCCCGACTGCGTCACAGCCGCCTATATGTTACGCGTGATCGCATCGAACTCGGATGCGTTGAAGAAACTCAAAATAATCTCAGCGGTCAGTCGGGAGCTCTCCTCGCAAATTGAAATCGCTCAAAATCAAGGTCAGTCGATGTTCTAGTGAATTCCATAGGAGGTCGCTTGTAATTTCAACGTTCACATCACCTCATGCTCCATAGGCTTGGTGGAAGCTTCGTCGTCCAGTCCTATGTACGGTGCGCTCACTTGCCTGAGAAGTCTGCTCAACGATCTACTCGCGGAGACGGTTCCGATCGATTTGATTCCCGAGTATAGAGAGATTTTCGAGAGCCTGATCGAGCAATGCGCGGCAATCGCGAAAATCGCCAGTCCGCTAGTGACGAACGCCAGTCCGGAGGGTCAACTTCAGATCGATGAGCACCCAGAACTCGAGGAAGAGTTCAAGGAGGCTCTCCTCAAGGGGTTTGGCAAGAACCTCGGTGAGTCTCCCGGGATTCTCCTGCTCACCCCATTTCCCCTGAACTCTGAATTACCTTCCAAATCGATTCCGCGTGGGTCCTCACCTGAATCCTGAATGAATCCCAACTGCTCCGTATTCCAGAGGGCGCGGATACAGTGAAAGCGTGCGCCGTTGCATCTCAGATGCTGCTACTTTGCTGCTGGCGATCCCATAAAGAAGTATCTCTAACGTTCGGCGTCCTCGCGGTGCACCTCAATCGTCTTACTGCGCAAGAGATACTGCCCGTCGGCAAGTTCCAGGAGATGGGCGCATTTTTCATGGACGGTGAGGGATAGGATATATGTATAGTCACCGTATTAAAGGTAGTAATGATTATTCCCATCGACGTCCCACCAAGCCTTCGATCGACGTCAGGGTCTTCATGCCTTGATTGCAGAATTGTGCACGGTTCGGCATAGGGGTGCTTTCGAGCAAGCCTACGTGGGCTTCTCGAGTTTGTGCACTGCTCTCTGGAGAAGCACGATAGCTGGGCTGAACAGATTTCCTTCCACTTGGCTCCGGGAGCTCGTCGAGAAAATTACCGATGGAGCCGTCAGTTCGACGCGTCGAAGCGCAGGATTGCCCTTCATTGTTCAGGTTTGTGCAAAGTCTCTAGCATGGAAATACGTTTTCCAACGCTCTCGCAACTCATGGAGAAAACTTTATCTAGGCTGTGGTTGTGAGCGAGCCCGAACTTAATAATGGTCGCGCACTGAAACAAGCTATGGAAGCTCTTCTCCCTCTGGCTGAATCCAAATCCACCGAAGTGGCTCGAGTTCATGCTCTAAATGTTCTCAGAGCTCTATACAAGTAAGTTTACAAGTTCCTTCCGAGGCTCAGAAGATCTCTGGACCATTCGAACGTAGAATCCCTACCTCCCCGGATAACAGAAATTTCCTCCCGAAGAGACACTCGGCTCGGTGAGAGCATAATGGCTTACGTGTCCAGGGGCATGAGGGCCGCCCTAGAAGGTTTCGATCACCCGGTTTGGGGAGTGCGAAACTCCTGCACGCTCCTGTTTTCGTCTCTCATCACGAGGATCTTCGGTGTCAACAGATCTAAACAGGACATCGAACGCAAGAATTGTCTGACGGGACATATCTTCTTCCTGCGCTTCCCGGGCTTGTTCGATTTCCTCCGCCGAAGGATGAGCGATCTTGCGAAAACACCGTGAGGGAGACTTGATACCAATCCTGATCACAAATACGAGGGATTTTCCTCGTTTGTTGTCGCACCGCAAAAATCAGCGAGCCTAAACGGAGATGAAAGCATAAGCGATTTGCGTTTCTCAGTTTGCAGCATCCAGGCCTTTTCCCGATTCTACTGCTGTTTGGGCGACTTTTTCCATCGATAGACGAATGCAAACTCGTGGCCTTCATTCCACTTCTGGAGCCTTGCTGTAGTTCGCCGATGATTTCGATAAGGAAAACTGCTGCTAAGGCTTTCGCCGCAATCGTTCCGACGGGACTGCATGGATCATTGGTGTCCATCAAAATGTCAAGGTTCCTCGGCGTAGAACCGACGAGGCTACCTCGGAACAACCTCCATGGTCTTTTGCTGCAAATCGAAGCTGTTCTCGATCTGCCGAGCTGTACGGATGAGACCAAGAAAACGATACGCGACAAATTGGCTCTTTCTGAATTCTTCCTAGCGTCGCGATGCAGTGTGATCGCTACGCTTTACCTCCAATTACTGATGCGCCTCGGGGTGCGTAAGCCCGACCTCGGCTCGCTACGACTCACCGAATTCGGCGCTGTGTCGCACACGGATCTACAACGGGTCATAATCCACTACAAGTGTGAGCTTGGGTGAGTCAGCTATGGGTCGGGTACCGTTTTCCGAGAAGATTCATTGGGGACTCCATCTCGGACCTCGACCCACGAAGGATAAGAAATACCTCGTCCTAAAAAATATTATTTTCTGATCAGCGACATAAAGTCAACCGATGTGGTCACCGACCATCACAAGATGGGGTTGTTGGAGTGGTGCCTCGACAATACCCTTGTTCTACCGGCCGTGATGACCGATATACTTCTGAGGACCCAAGTGGAGCATCCCCACGTCGCACAACTCGTGAGTACCTCTCATTGAGAGATTTTCTCCTTTCTAGCCCGTCGAGCATGCGATGAGGACTGAAAATCGCATAATTTTGGAGCTCCCTCCCCATATCGAGAATGCTTCTCTTCTGCCCCAAAGGCCTTGGACCTCGCGACCAAACACCTCGAAGAAGCAGTTGGACAGGAGTTGGAAACGTTCATCAGGAAGCTCCTCGTTGAGTTGCCCTCCGTCACCATACCAACGGTCGCCGTGTCTATGTTTTCCTGCATCGCGGCGCACGTCGCTCGACTTTCGGTCGATTTCGCGGTTTCAAGCATTGGAGTTATGCATCAGTACTCCGCGGCCAACCAACCCCCAGCCATGCGCAGCGTCGCGGCCGATCTCGCTCGAAAGCTCATGGAGACACATGGTCGAGCGATTTTCGAGAAATCGAACTCTACCGGTAATTTCCTGATGCTCTGTGAGGGTCTCATGAATTTGGTCATGGACAATGATGTTCACGTGAGGAACCAGATCGTCGTCGGCATCTCGAGCATTTCTACAGAGAGCCTTAAGAGAGATACCGCTTTGAACTCATTGTTAGATCTGTGCGTGGAGATGTGCAGGGAGAAAGAAGCGTTCGCGAAGCTTCTGATAAAGATGGCACTGGCGTCAGAAGAAGCTCCGCTGGACGTCGAGTTCGACGAGCAGCCCTTCGAGAAAGGGGAGTTGAACACATTCCATGACTCTCTTGTAATTGCCGAAAGTTGCTGCCAGGCTGTCCTCAAGCTCGGCATTCGGGACGTGGATATCGACGAGTCTCGATACCGGGGCCTGAAATCCAGATTGGCTGCAGTTGATGCCTGTGAACTCGCTTTCAATCGACAACTCGATGCGGATCTAGTTAAGTTAGGACAGTTCTATTCAGCCATCGCCGTGCGGGGAGAACCCCCAGACGCCCAAGACATTTCTCCGGTGTCGAATGTTTATTTCGATCGCTTCAGACTTCGGTTATGATTATCGCCTCCTGGGAGTGTCTGAAAGAGATCTGTGAGGGGACAAGACTTCAGCGATACAGTAAAGCTCGATAAGTTTGCGAAAAGGAAAAACTCTTTACTTAGCGTTCGATCGGGAATCTCTTTTTGAATTCCCGTACAGTGACGTAACGGACTGCCTCTTCCGAGGATTACAAGCGTGATAACGAAAAATAGACGGAAACAAGGGAAGGTGGTCGACTGTCGAGCTCAAGGAACTCTACGACCGCTGCAACCTCAAGCGCAAGCAAAATTCTCGTATACACATTTTTTCTACACCAGCCCCTTAATTCCGTCTCATCTCTTTCAAAGCCTCTTCGGAGTTGGGGTTCATCATTACAGCCTCTTGCGAGCTGGAGCGACTTCACGAAAATCTGGTGTGCGTTCGCGGGGAATCATGACTGTTCCGACCGAAGTTTTTCAGCAGAGACATCATTTCAGCGGTCTTGGTGGTCTGATGGGAATGGGTCTGAACGCCGAGGATCGAACTACTCTCGGACTACTGCTCGACCTCGATGTTTGACTCTCCCTTGCAGGGGTGCTTTCCCTGGAGAAGGTGCCATTCTTCCTCGCTATGTACTCGGCTAGGATACGTTGGCGTTCCTGCTCGGCGGCTTCGTTGCGCTGCTGAACCGCCTTCTGGATCGCGTCCATCTTCTCGAGCTTCTCCACAGCCTGATTCAGATTTGTGCCCACCTGTCCTCCAGATCGAGGTGTGCCGGCAGACGGAGGCGTATTTGTCGACGGCGGCGAGCTGAGAGGACTTATCGAGTAAGTTGAAGTTGAGCCTCTACGGATGTTGAGCACAGGCGGGGGCCTGCAACGAGTTTGTCGCAGATCCTCAGCAGATTAGCGATCGAAGAGAACGTCTCAATTCTCTCAGGCTACGTTGTGTTTGAGACAAGGAAGCAAGCAGGAGAGCACACTACGACTGCATTTTTCATAAAGGGTGAGATTTTTGTCAGAGGAGCGGTCTGCTAAGATGCTCCTTGCGCAAGGGGGTCAATCGTTCCTCGAGGATGGACAGCGGGCATACGAAATTATTACAGAGACATTGAATGACCATAGCGAGTAAGTTCGTGCTTACTGCAACACATGCGTGAGGCGGCGGACTGCGGAAGAAGTACGCTCCGGCAATTGTTAAAAGGAAGCCATTTATTCAAATCCGCCAAAAACTCCGAATGATCACTAGCTCCTGGCACTCGAGACTCTATCTAGGCTCGACCGCGATGATTCCAAGCGTCAGCGGGGATTTCCCCCAGATTTTGGACAACGGTTCCTGTTCGGTCCGATGCTTTTAGGGAATTCGCGCCGCATCGACGAAGTTCCAGTCCTCGAAACCAAGAAGTATCAAAAAATGCGTTTCTCCAAACTCGAAACGATAGGGCTTCGAGACTCGGAAACCATGATCGTGTCCCCTCCGAATTCCGCGCATTCAGTACCTACGGGATCGAATCCGGGGACTGACTTTCTCTTAATACTCGGTCACTCGACCCGGCGTGACAGTTTCTTGATTCGAGTCGGTCCGATCTCGGATCGATCCTCCGCGTGTAGAAGACTGACCGGAATGAGATCCGATCGTCTCATGTATCGTAAAACTCTCAGAGAGTTCCATTGCGAAGCGCGAGTTGATTGGTGAGATGAAATGAGGGTTAAAGCGGATTCTGCAGCGAGTATCCACTAACACAGATGTAATCTAACGGTCACAGCTCATGTCCGGCTTGTTAATCGATCGATCGACGTAGTTTGTCGAGACGGTACAACCAGCTTACATGGGCTTTGCAGGTGCAAAACAGGTGGACCTCATGGATTTCGCAGCGTCGGTAGCTTGGCTCCGAGGAACGCCGCCTTTGAAGCCAGCGCAGGAACTGTGCTCCGTTTTGAGAGCCTCGCTGTCATCGATCTTGAAATTCTGCGGAGAATGAATAAGCATCTGAGCGATGATACTTCAAGTTGATTCGGATCTACCATTTTGCCCCCAGCGTGAATCTAAAACGACGATCCTCGAGAACGGGAACGTTCGGGAAGTGACAAGAAGCTCGAGGAATGCTAGGTCTGGAGGGTATCCAGCCGCGGGATGTCGGTCCCGTCAGTGCCTCTCGACGGCTTCAATCAGGAATTTCAAGCGGAGGCCAATCGGAAGGCTAAGCGGAGGTCACACACCCACACCCGCTCAGTCAAACCCCGGGGATTTCTGATCGGTGGATATTGGGAGGCTGATCTAGAATTCCGCAGCCGAGATTCACCTTGAAATCGTCTAGAACGTTCTGTTTCGGACCCGGTCCTTGCTTAGCGGCCACGGCGTAGGCTGCTAAGATTCGTTTCTTCTCGGCGTCGCAGGATTCCTGACGCTCTTTGATGGCTCGTTGCATGGCGTCCATCGGAAGATCCGCATTCCTGGACGCTGCCGCGAAGTCCGGACCGTTCATGCAGGACGCCGGGGTACTGGATGTCGGCGACTTTATCAAGTTTGGATCGTATAGGGGAATGCCACCAGAGACTTGCATGGTGGAATCGTATTCCTTGCGCGAAGCGTCGAAACCACTGACGTCTGCTCTTTTGAAAGCATCGAAGTTCACTTCCTGTAAATTCGAGAATTTACTTCTTCGATTCTCCATTCGGAGATGATTATGAAGGGAGGGGGGCAGGAAGCCTTGAGGAAGAGAGCATCAAAACATCTTACTTTCGGAGCTCCGGCAGGACCAGACTTGGCTGCTGCTTCGAATGCTGCCAGCATTCGCTTTTTCTCGAGCTCACGCTGCTTCGCAGTTTCTTTTATAGCGTCTTCAACCAGACCCTAGAACAGGAAATCGAATCCACCCTCACCGAAACGCTATTTGAGGCCAATAGCTCTCTAGCAGAGATCGCTATTCTTGATGCTAGAATCGATGACAGAAGATTACCTGGTTGACCGAAGTGACAATGCCTTCACCCGCCTCGCCGGTTTTATAAATTCCGACGTCCATGACTTTTGCGCTGCCAGCGGGAGCCGACTTCGCCATCGCGTCATACATTTCCAGGGTTCTCTGTATGGGGTAAATAGAGCTCGGTCATGAAGAAGACTTCGGGACGGATTGGAGAAGTTTTTCTATCCAGAATGGTTGTATTCCTCCTAAGTCTGGGAGATGATCACAGGATTGAGCGTCACTCGCCTGTTTTTTCAGATCAGCTTGTACTGCTTTGTTCCGAATGGCCATTTCTCGGTCATCTTCGCGTTTCTTTGCTTGAGCCTCTCGCTCTTCTTTCTTTTGTTTTTTGATTTCCATCAAACGTGCCCGGATGGCACCGCGTTTCTCGAATTCCGTCTCCACTTCCAGCTGCGAAGGAAGAAAAACGATTCGTGGTCGACTCACTCTGGACGTGATCGCAACATTGACTGCAATTGATACACAGAGATACATTTGCTCGACACCGCAAGGCTCAATCGATAGGGCATTCCTGGAGTCCTCCCATGGTCCGTGGGAGGGAATCACTGCGCACAAATCGGTGTCAGTGCGTGGGTCGGCTTCAGCAAGAGTCCGAAGAGGACATCATACTTCGGGATGAGCATAGAAGTTCGCTCATTCCCAAACTGAAGACCTTCGACCGGAAGATGAAATTCCCAGCCAAGGCAGACCATCCAGCTCCATTCCTTCCTGTTTTGAGGGCTATCCGAAATATTCTCGATTTAGCGATAGCTGGTATAACGTCCCCAGGGCCCTAAGGTCGTTGTATCTCATGGACAGATCGTACGAAGAATACTTCGTGACGACCTCGGAATTCCCAGAATCGTTAAAGGTCTTCCCCACCCACAGCGAGATTAGCTTGCCCAAGGCAGCCGGTAAGCTTCTCATCAGCATAAACGAGAGGTATCTAGTCGTCGAGGTTCCTGTCCGAATCGAATCTCACAAGTCTCATACGAGACAAACTTCTGATCGATCCCACCCAGGTGCTCAGTCGAGACTCGAACGTCGTATCGAACACGGAGGCTTCGAGCTTTCTAGAAAGAGAACGCTCGGTGGGCAGAGTCAGCTTGTGCAGGAACTATGCCGCGACACTTGCTTGCGAGCACAGGGGAAGAAGCAGTATCGGGCGCATTGACAGTCATCTATTTCCGTTGTCCAGTCCTGTGCGCCGAGCTCCTCGCAAAGGGAACATACGATCCTTCGGGCGCCTCCTTATGAGACACAGATAATTTTCCTAGGAGATAGTTCGTGGAGAAATATGTCCCGCGTGATAAGCGGGGGCACATCTGAGCAGGGAAATCCTCGTTTTCCTATGATGCGAAACTAGACGGAGGCTCTCGCGGAATCCCAGAGTTCGACACTATAGATTCTCAGTTAGGCGTTATTCTAATGCGCTTCGCTCGCTCTGCTTACCATCTCGGCGAGAACATGTTCATCCTCAATGGCTGCAAGGTTTGACATCCTGACGAAACCCACGAAGGAATCCGATTGCTTGAATGAAGCCCCGGCAAGTTCGCACTCTAACAGTCAATACCTCGGGGTTTCCCACAAACTCCACTTCACCGCCCAACGACCCTTCCCTGTTGGGAAAATTGAAAGCCCGGAGATCTTAGAACACAGATGGAGACGTCTTAAGCCTTTGCTTATCGGCAGCTTCTGGGTGGGTCTGCCTACTGCTTGTGGTTCTAGACCCTATTCTCCCTGCGGTGAGGCGCGCTGGCCGCGGTCTCAACAGCTCGCTCGCTCGCTAAACCTTCTGAGAGAGGGGACAGCTAGCTCACACTCTGCTACAAAGCCAAGGCGACTAACTTTCTGAGCTCTTAACATGAAAATTTTGCTCGAATATCGATAAGCATCAGAAGAAGTCGCGACTGAGGGAGACCGAGACACGATAGATCGAAACATTGACAAACTTTCCGTAGCCCGGAGATATTTCGGAAGAACATCAGTGCAATTCTATTCGGGGTGTTTGGCATACAGGGGAGGCTTCCTCTACCTCAGGTTCGAGCACGTGAATCTTCGTCATGCATCACAGGTAGTGTACGTGCTCATTTGGACCTCAGCCAGGACTCCCTAATGTCTGCTTGGGCGAGTTCTCGCTAAGGGTGACGGCGGATGACATCATTTGTCGGCCAGCATCCGCGAGCAGAGCCTTGAAGAAAGAGCCGGACATCTAGGCCGTGTTCGTGAGCGGGGATAGGTGTCGTGATGGAGATGTTTCTCGGAACGTCTCTGCCGTCGTCAATCGTAAGCGGCGGCATTCTTCTGGGGGTCATGGGTCGGCGGCGTCGCCTTCCTCTGCGGATAATCATTCCACAACGGTATCAGGCCCGGGGGTACCAGGTACCCCGGGGGTATCGTTGTCGTAACGTCGTATCCCTCGTACGTATCCTTGTCGGAATATCGCGTGAAGGCTGTTGATGGGCAGTCCTGAGGGAATCTCGTCGCAGCGTCCCATGATTGATCATGCTGAGAGAATTCGAGTCTCTCCCGTCGAAGACTGACCGGCGATGCGGGGTGCCGCCGTCAGTCGCGCGATCTTCGGGTTCTCGCGACTGCGAGATTCAACCGCAGTTAAACAGCTGTACTGAAGCATGCAAGCTGTACAGGGTTTTGGTTGCCCACCTATCGAAGCTCGGACTCGTGCACATCCGCGGCACCTACTGGTAATGAACTACAGGCCGACATGATGAGCCAAAGAGACAAGGTCGAAGAAGGTCACTCGATCCTGTACCGATCGGGATCGGTCTCCTCAGCGGTCTCAGAATCTCCGTCGCCCGCAGCCTACGCCGCTACTGAGTTCTCGGTAATCTAGGAATGGCTGGGATAGAGCCGTGAGAACCGAGCGAGCGTTGATAGGCCCAACTTGAGCTGTAGGAAGATTCTCCCTTGTAATAATACGATATACCCACAGAAATATTCCAATAGTATGTAAAAGCTCGTTTTCAATGATAGTCCGTCCTCACGAGAAGTGCCCTGTAGAAGGAATCGGGTCGAATGGAACCCGGTTCCAAGGAGAGCCCCCGGGGAGAATACAATCGGAAAACCGAGAAGTTTCGTCAGCGTGCCCTAGTATTCCAACGGTCACGACGAATCCAGCTCTTCAACTCTTTCCTCTCCCAAGTGAACTTCTGCACTTGGGGCCGCCTCTCTGGTGCTAATGCTTTCCACACACCCATCCAAGTAGGAACACATATCAAGTAGATTGGCTATATGGAGCACCCAAGTTCCCATCCATGAGCTGATTATGATCTCATGATGGAAACCATCATCGATGATGGCATGCACAGCTATATGGAACGCTCGCTTCGTCCCATGAGAATTCGCGGCGATTCTCATGGCCGAGCAAAGCTAAACCCTCGGGGTATCGCCCGAAGACAGCAACGGCAACGGCAAAAAATCAATCCATTCCTTCGCATGATTTTCTAGCCGAGACGGCTACGGGAGGACGGCACTCGTTCTGTGCGCCGCATTGTTCATTCCTCGACGTCGATCCAGCCTCGAGACTAGCGAACGGAACAGGGGATTTGTGCGCGAAAACGCACAGAACCTCAACTTTGAATCCGAGCTTATTTCGCGCCACACTGATGTCAACAAGTATGGCTGCCCCCTTGGTGACTCCTTGAGTTCAGGAACTGAGAGAAATTTTCTCTTTTCATTCCTGTACTCGAGCGACGTCTCTCAAACAACCAGAGATCGCCTGTCCTACTTTGTCAATCTCGTCCTGGATCATTGAAGCTGAGAGAAGAGATCGTGTTGAAGTCAATGATGAAGCTGCTCCGTGCTGCCATCGGTACCCGCTCCAGAGATTCGACCTGAAAGAATCCGATCATTCACCTCCGACAATAAGACCGGTGAAGCGCGCCTGGTACGTCATAACCTGCTCCTTCAGGCACGCATAACTTCAGCTGCGGTACACTCGAGGTGGCACATGAGTTCTTGCTGCCCAGAGTATCGGCGGACCGTATATCTCTGGACATCGCCCGTCTTCTCTGATTGGATCGGATGTTACGAAGTCGGATCAGAGCCTCGGCGTCCACCTCGGCCGACTAGATGGCGGAAGAGGCTGAATGCATATTTCGGAGACTCACTCGAGTACAGTTCTACAGGTCGAACGCCAGCCATGAGGATGTGCCTTGTCACAAGTTGGACTCAGCGGTGCGTTTGCGGGGGCACCGTCTGGAAAGGCCTGAACCCGAAAAAACTACACTATTCGGGTAAGTGCGAGCAGCTCTGGAAATCTGGAATAATTTTCTAATTTAGAAAGTGTTCTAATAGAATCTTTCGAATTTCTTCTAATAGAATTTTCAGAAAATTTTATGATAATTTCCTAATAGAATTTTTCTAATTTTCTCCAATTTTCTTCAATTTCCTCTCAATCGGTGTTTTCCTCTTTAGGCCGTGGTGTTCGGGACTTCGTGTTGCGGTCCTGCTCGACCACCGTTAAATCCCCAGATGGCGGCAAGAAGACACCTGAACGGAAGGCAATCTCCGAAATGCAGCAGACAATTATTAAATGTGAGTGGAGACGCACGAATCGTTTTGTAGAAGCATGGTCATAATCACATGCATGATGACAGTCTAATCCGCTCGATACTGTCTCTGCAGCCATAAAGGGTACGAGAATAAAGTTGGATGTCAACCAAGAATACACCGAGAGGAATTTCATCACGCCAATCAGGGCCATGACCGAATACGGACTCAAACTGCAAGACCTCGAGGGTCTGAAGAAAACTCTTCGACGTAGCCCCATCAGCGACAACCCCCCTATTACTGTGTTCCTCCGACGTGACGTGGAATCGAAGTGAGTAGGCAGAAGAACGCGCGATTCCGATTCGATTCTGAATTGTTGCCATCGGAGCCGTCGTCCGCTGCATGGGGTTCCAATGGCTTCTTATCACCAGAGCTCTGGAAGTTTACGGCTCCATGGAAGCCCTCGAGGACATCCAAGCGAAGCAGCTGGAAGAGCTGGACCGACTACGGGAGGAAGAAAATCTGAACGCCAAGAAAATCCTCAAAGAGTTCTACAAGTAAGTTATTTCCGTCGTGAAGCGTAAAGTTTCTCCTCGGCCCGAATTTGAGGCGAATTTCTTTATCCACTCGCCGCCGGAGTATGGATGTTCAAATGATTCATCTAATGAACATTCGAGTTCCCGTAGAGCTGAGCGTCGGAACGACGAAGCACGACAGCGGGAACAGATACTGAAGGGCAGCGGGAGAGTTGTAAAAACCGCGGTGGTCATCAATGCCGGCAACTGTGTCTTCAAAACCGTAGCTTGGTTTTACTCGGGCTCTCATTCCATGTTTGCCGAAGCTGTTCACAGTTTCGCGGATACCCTCAACCAGGTGCGTCGATCACCGAATACCTCCGCCGTCCAGCCTAGGCGATGTGAAGCGTTTTGTAACAGTCGAGTTTTTTCTCCGGTGAAGCTGATCCTGGCATTCGGGATTCGGAAATCGCTCCAGCAAGCAAATCCGAACCATCCGTATGGATATCACAACATGAGATACGTCTCTTCGTTGATTTCGGGAGTCGGAATATTCTTCTTCGGAGCGGGCCTCGCCTGGTATCACGGCTTCATGGGTCTCATTTACCCCGAAGCCGTACACTCGCTATACTGGTCTTTCGTGATCCTTGGAGGGAGCTTCTTGAGCGAAGGCGGAACGCTATTCGTCGCATACAAGGAGATTAAGAGCGGGGCTCGAAAAGAAAATGTCCCCATGTTGGATTACAGTGAGTACCATGTCCTCAAAAGGGGAGACGCTGTTTCTTGCACCTTGGCGCTCACGTCGACGTTCAGAGATTATTGAAAGGGATTGTAGTAGGTGTTTTCTGAGCTCTCATTTCCCCGAACAGTTATCCGCAGCCGGGATCCCTCGGTGAACGTGGTCCTTCTGGAGGACATTGCCGCCCTTATGGGGGTATCCATAGCTGGCACCTGCATGGGCTTGACGCATGTGTACGAGAACCCAATCTTCGACGCTGTCGGCTCGCTCTTGATCGGGGGGGTTTTGACTTGCGTCGCATCCTTCATAGTCTACACCAACACCACTGCCTTGGTCGGAAGGTGAGACAAAGCGCCCCATAGAGGTATTGGATCGAATTCCACGATGTCATGATCTCTTCCTCGGGCTGCCCTGGATGAGTGATATTAATCTGTTCCCCATCCCATCATTCGGTCAGATCGATCCCCTTCGAGCAAATGCAGCGCATAAATCGGGAGCTCGAGACCGACGTCATGATCAGAGCTATCTACGACGTCAAGGCCACTGATATGGGAAACCAAATCGTCCGCTACAAAGCTGAGGTGGATTTCGACGGGCGCGAACTAACCCGAAGCTACATCGATACTCAAGATTTGGAATTCTTGTTGAAGGTTTGTACTTCCGGCTGTTCGCAGAGACGACACATCTGTATGTATATTTGGAGGAGTTTTCTGACGGCTTGTGAACTCTTCTTTATAGGAAGTGCAGGGCTTCAAAACGATAGAAGAGCTGGACGCATTTATGTTGAAACACGGCGAGAACGTCATCGATCTCCTCGGGGCCCAAGTCGACCGCATCGAACGGAAGCTCAAGAAGAGACATCCCGATGTACGCCACGTAGATCTTGAAGTTCTATAGAGATACGGATCTCTCGATCATTATGGAATTCAGCTGAATGCAAGACTCCTCCTGAGCGATAGTCTGCAACTCGGACATGCGATGGGAGTTTATGTGATGTAAGGAGGTCCGTGTCGGCGAGTGATGAGAAGACTCGGATTGCCGCGAAGTCGACCGCTCTTTTTAAGAATGAAGCCTATGGGTCGAATGGTTCCCTCCGAACTCGGAGCGATGACGTCCGAGGGAGCGAGAAGAGGAGCTGGCTGGACACGGACGTCATGCGGCTCGGCATCATACTGCGACAGCAAAGTCTGTATAGCTCCTGAGTCTGGGAAACAATTGCTATTATTTTGTTCTGTAGTGGAGGATCTTCCCGCGCCCCGCTTAGAAATCTGAGCCCCCCCTGAGATCGTAGTTCGTGGTAGGCATGGGCAGCGGGGCGGACGCAGATCGCGATGACGCAAGGCTGCCCTTGATTGAGCGCATATATTCACGAGACTGAGCTTAGACTTTGTGCGAGTGGATTGCCGCGCGTGCGTAAGACGCGTGAGAACCCGAAGGGATTGTGTCGCATCCGGACCCGCTGCGGAACGTTGACGAAGACTGAGAGACAACGCACAAGGCGTGTGTATGTATAAGATTTGGGCGCTACGAGATGAGGAATGACGGAAAAATAAAAAATCTGTAATCTCTTCAACCATTTGTTGTCGATCCGGTGCAAGTCTCCTTATCAATTTCTTAATCTCTGAGTCAATTCGCAAGTCGTTCCCCGGGGAAAGAAGCAGCGAAACACAACTCTATCGCGGAAGCGACGACGGATGGTGTATCGAATCCGCTGCATGCGCGGTCGGAAAATATTCTCGGATATCCCAACTTCGAAACGTCAAGGCACGGAATGGCGTCCCCCATCCGTTACCGAGGGACCATGGAAGAACCTAGATCCTAACGAGTGCTTCCCGTTCTCCAAACAATCGTGTATTCGCCGGGATGAGCTCGCAACCTCATTTAGTCAGATCTGTAGTACCCGAAATGCATATACACCGATATTTTGATAGAATGCTCCCCTCGGGATTGGATTGAGGCTTTTTCTTGGGACTTCCACCGTCAAGTATACGGTGACTCTCGCGAGGCGATCTTAGCTCTATCTCAATTCCATCCAATGAAGTATCTCCAGAGTTCTGACCGCCGAGGCTGTCAAAATGGCCCACCAGAGGCTCGCGGAACCCCAGGGCTCCGCGGAGCTCCGGTTGGAGCCCGCTGCGGGACTTTGCGCTCCTCCGTGCGCGAAGCCGACACAGACTGCTCCCGTGCTTGTCCTTCCCTCGAAGAACAGGTCTGCGGACCGCGGCGGGCGGGATCGTACAGAAATCAACGAAAAGCAATCTACGCTCGGAGTTTCCTTCGAGGAATTTCGAGATCCATGAGATCCCAGTGAACGGAGAAATCGTCGGATTGCTTTGACCATTCATCCGTTTTGATCGAGCTCGAGGTCACATCCATAAGATTTCCAGGCTCGTTGCTCCTGGGACGAATGAAGATCACGGAATCCTCGGCTCTGGTTCTGACTTCATGAATCGTCGTGTGGCTCTGAAGGAGACCGGCTCCGCTCCGTCGGCTATCTCGGTCATCATTCCCTACATGGTCATGGATCCTGGAAACAAAGATGAGACCATCCGAAACGATTATGCAATGATCCATGGTCTGCTCCCACCAAGAACCTTGGATTGATCGCTGCATTGGTTGCTAATCGTAGCCAGTCGGATTTTCTGATTATCTGACAGTGCGATATCGTTGGAACGCCCGGAGGAGGACTCCCGCTCTCCAAAGTCTCCCAAGCAAAGATCATCATCGACAGCGATCTCTATTGACTTCTCTGCTTCCGTAGAAGTTCGAGTCCCCGCGCGAGGGAACATTTTGTGAGAAATCTCCATCAACCTACTGGAGGAGCTCTTGAGACGCATGCTCTCTGCAGAGGCTTTCCGTTTCCAGCGGAACGCCATTCTCAAGCTCACGAGGTTGCGGAAGTTCTCGCCGCCGCTCCGATGATGATGACGGGATCAGAGCAGAAAAGCTGTTTGTTGACGCGAGATAAAGAGGCCTGAATTCTCTGACTGAGAGCTCGCGAGTCGCGAGTCCGCTATCAAAATTTTTCCGCGCGCTCGTTCAGAGAAAAGGCGACTTCCATTCCCTCCAGCCGCTCGATTCCCCTACTAGACGCTTACGGTAGCCTTTGAACTGTGTCAGAACTCCCGAGCAGCTGCTCGAGTGTCGCAAGCGGCAACCCCTACCCGAAGAGCAATCGTGTCAGAGCGATACGGATACTGGAAAGGTTCAGGATCATTGTGTGAGATCGATGAAGAGAGTGATTGATTCAGAACCCAGTGATGTGAGGAGAGACGGAACCGAGCAGGAAACCGTTTCTCGCTGTGGGCGATACCTCTTCTAAGAACTATTCTCAGCTTGTGCGGAACATCTCGAACATCGTTGAGAATCGCTGGCCATTCCTCCCAGAGGATAGACTTCGCGGATACTCTCTGGAGCTCGATGAGCTTGTTCACGGAGGCGAGCTCCAGTAGGACCGAGAGGAGAAAAATGAAAAGCAAATTCTTCATGGAACGCCTGAAGAAGAAGAAAACCATCATCGTCTCTCACCCGTCCTTCGAGAAAATACTGGACGACTTCGGGCAGGGAGAAAACGCCCGCGTGAGAGAAACGGACGAAGGTGAGTTCCTCCGGGGATACAGGGAGTTCAGTCGGGAGGGACTTTTCTCGGCAGAGGAGAAACACTCTTGTCCCGCTCCCGCTTGGATTGATATCTCGAGTCTTATGCCCGGTAGCAGAGCGTTCGATACTCTCTAGGATTTCATGTGCCCGTGGCGGATCGAGGGAAACTCAAAAAGGCATCTCTGAGTGGGACACGCAATGGAGAACACTCGCGGTGTTTCTCAGTCAGTCAGACTCCGGCAGACTCTAGCGCTGCTTCTAGAGAGCCAGTGCATCGGCGCTGGTCTGCCGGTCCCTTCACGGATCGTTGGGAGATCCCTCGATTCTTATGAATTGCGTCGCAGTCGGCCGATTCGGTATTTATCCACAGCGCGATTTTGCGTTCCGCATCTTTACGCTCACTCTAAAGAAGAGCATGTGTTTGTGTCGGCTATCAGCTGCTCGCCTGTTTGCACCTCGAATTAGCAGACGGCCTGTCAGAGAGGGATGTGGCGTACGTGACACACTCGTATGTGTAGAAACACATAGGGGGAAGCTTATACGGCATAGTCGATTTCCATGGTCTGGGATCCCAAAAGCAACCCTCATGGGGCAGGTTCGTCGGAGGGGGCGAGCGACGAGCTCTCGTTCTCTATCGTGACGAAGTATCTTGATCGAAGGGACTGCGAAGGAGCCGCGGAAGAGATCGGCGGCGGGTTGCTGCATCAGCTGCTGCGGCCGTGTGAATTTCGTCTGCTCGTTCGGTGCCCTCGCCACCATCACACAGCGATAACTCCGCCCTCATGAGCTGCTAACCAACGAATGCCTTAGCGACCATGAAAGCTGTTACGACTTGTTTCGCTCCAAGCTTCACTTGGCCCTGATGTTCGTGTCCACCAGTTGATCCGCTCGGAGTCTGATCGATTCAGAAAGACAAGCTTGTCCTTTGCCTCTTGTGTAAGCAGTGCAGTGACGCCTCAAATTCAGCGGGTGTCTATCTCTGCCCGGGATCCCTCAACTAGAGAGACTTGTTCGTGCTTCCCCTCGTGCCATCTCCGCTCAGCTTCGGAATCGGAGTCAGTCGCAATGAGTCAAACACTTGTTTTGAACCATTCGATCATGTCGGACAAATGCCGTCGTCCGATGAGGCTCATAGCAGGTATGATTTTGAAATAGCGAATCTCCGCTGCCAGGCGCTTCTCTCAACCGAGCTGCGCTCGAAAGCCTCGATCCGAGTCAGTGCGGCACTCAATGTCATTCCCGCGCTTCGACTTCCGCGAGCGAAGCCATGGCCATGGGCGTGCAGATCCGTTTCCGCGGATCCGGTGAAATATTCCGAACGTCCATGTGAACTTTGTCCCGAGCGCGAGCGTCGGTTTGTCTCGCGCTGACTAGGAAACCCCGGACGGGTGGGATGCCAGCGTAAAGCTTAGGCGGCGTCCCTTGGTACATGGGGTAAAATGACGAAGTGGCATTTAATGTGCAGGACATCTCCTTATTTGAGATGTTTCTTGCCTCTCGTAGTCCCTCTCGACAAGGCTCGTTCCGGAATATCATCTACGTTCACCTTATGCGATCGGAATTTGCGCTATGGATCATCTTGTATTCTCTGGTCACGTTTCATTCTCGTCTACAGATACCGAAGATGCCTCGGAGACCGAAGTCTGCAAACAGGAGGAAGAGTTCAACGAAAAAAAGAACAGTGAGTATTTTGCCGCGTACCCTTCTGCTAGTGGGTCGCGCCTCGAGCCGATAGCTATCCGAACTCTCTTCGATTGTAAGTTACTGTTAAGTCTGTGACTCGGTGCTAATGTGAATGGTTCCTTCTCCAGATTATTCTTGGAAAAGATAGCGATGCTCCAGAAGCAGCTCCAGCAGGTGGCTGACGGCAGCCATCCCGAATATCAGCGAAGGCTGCGGAGAATCGAGTTCGTTCACCACGAGAGAAATCTATTCAATGAAGTCTGGAGACAATGTGAAATCGAGCGAGTCCAGGCCGACTGCGAGGCTGAGCGTAGTTTGGCTCTGGCGGATCTCGAGGAAAAGACTTCGGAGCTCCAGGACGGGCTCATTTCGGAATTTGAAGAGAAACGTCGACACGTGGAACTCGAGAGGAATGTAGTGGAGCTCACAGGGGACCCACAGGAAGTCAAAACCGCTAGTACGAGAAAACTCCGACGCCGACCAAACGATCCCGTTCAGCCGCTGACCCAGGAGAAACGACGGAAAGTTTCGCCGAGTCAACTCAATCTCTTATTGGACGAGGGAGACATCCTCGAGGACCTTAAGACCATTCAGCGAGGCAAACAGGCCGTGAACCGAAGAGGTGGGTTTGGAGATGCAGTGGAGAGAAATCCGGGAATCCTATGCAGAGCTTCGGAATTCGCACCGCAACGAGTTATTATACGATTCGCAATGTTTCAGGAGATTACGAGACAGATCTGACAGACATCGGGAACTTCTCGGCCGCCGTGATGTTCCAGGATGCGAAAATCGAGCACAACAAATTGTTCTATGATAAGAAATGGCATCACCGAGGCCAATGCGTTCATGTAGAATCTCGGGAGCACGGCCGCTTCAACGGTACGATCGAAACGATAGGAACCTCTGAAATCAGCGTGAAGAAAGCTTCGGACAGCACTCGGGTTCGGATTACTCTCGCTACTTTGCAGCGAGGCAAGGTAGTTCTCCGACGGAAGTCATAATGCCTCCGAACTCCCCGAGTTGCCTTCTCAAGTGAGCTCCGGCGGTCGGAGCTCTCAACCCCTAGGATGTTTTTCGAATCGTTAATACTCTAATATGCGAGTTTTTAATTATCGTCCCAGGCTATGGGCTCAGATTGTTCATGTAAATTAGGGAATCGATGCCAGGTTCGCGGCTAACGCACGTCCAATCCCGAATCTGTGCAAAGTTCCATTCGGGAGAAGTTTGTCCATTATCGTGTACATTGTATTCCGAAGCATCTCGGCTGCGGAAGTGACATCACGCGGTGCGTCGGTGACGCGCCCGCTCGTTTCGAATCAGATTTAGGACCAACGCGTGCGGATGTCAGCTCCTTCCGATAGTTTGCCGAAACGCGAGGTTTGTTGTCGAAGAGGTAAGAATGATGCTCGAGGTCGTTTGTATATTTGTGAAGATTGTCTCGCCTCCTAAAATGCTTTCATGGGTCGCGTGCACGAGGATATCGACAGCGTAGCCGGAGGGGCCCGGCTCGAGGATTTGTAACCAGTCAGAAGCTCATCTAGTCAGACTTGCTCCCGTCGGGTCTGTCCCGATACTGAAGCTGCAGTGGTAGGTTCGATGATGCTTCCGGGAGCCCATCGGCTGGATTCTGAGCTCCGCGAGATGCGGGTGTATCGTCGATACCGATCGGTACATTCGTTCAAAAAGTCGCTTCTGAATTCCAGTGATTTCGCTTTGTGAGTCTTCCCCTCAAGGCAAAACCTTTGCGAGACACTACTGCCATCTCAAGCGAAAATCGCTTGGAAAAGCTCCCCACCGTGGATACCACTCGGCCTCGCAGCCAAAATCGATGAGAGGAGAAAGCCGCGTGTCAACTCATAATTCTCGCGATTTGCTGGGTTTGTAATTCCTGGTGAATTCGCTCTCATATCCATCTAGCTCCTGGTAATCTATCAGCGTCGCTGAAACGTCAGATTCGGTTCGGGGCGGCAGCCTGAAGAGAGCGTCAGTAGCGCCGAACATCATCGATTTGAGTGAAGCTCAGATTCGCGACAGGAGATCGCGTTGAAGATTCGTGCAATCTCTCGCAATCGGTACCATAACGAACGTTAAATCCTGCTCTCGACTTGGGAAATACCTCCACTTCTCTCGGGTCCCCGCCAGATTCTTATCTTGTATCGTAGAAAAATAGACGCCGATCCGAAGAGCTGTCGGAGGATCCTCGGGCGAAGGCGCAGTCAAGGAGGGGTCACTTACCCAAGATTCGAATCCCCTTGAAAGTCATTGCACGGTGATCATATATCCTGCATGATCCTGACCCGAATCGATATCGGATGAGGCAGAAAGTCGATCTATGTAAATACGTGTCCATATGCAATTATACCTATGCAGCGGGAGATCTGAGATGAGTCCCGAATCCTCATTTTTCCCCATATCACTCTGGCTCCGCCGATGCGAATCTTAGGAAAGATTGACACGAAAATTAGGCAGAGCATGGAATTTTGGAAGATAGGGATCTATCCGCTAAATTGCCCGACATCATGTGAGAGAAAAAGCCCGGCTTCGACTACTCAATAAAATTAATTTGTGGAAACAAATAAGTGTGTCTGCGGCGGATTGTTGCAGGGAGCGTCCTATTGCTGTGCCTCCACAAATAGGATGCAGTTTGCAGATTCGGCATCAACCGATGAGGATAATAAACACCGCGTACAGTGGGAGTTGATCTATCTAGACGCTTGAGCATCGAGCACGTTGAGAGCTCGGAGCTCCCACGAGGACGAGGAGTGATCGGCGAAGTCCCGGGTATCTTGCTGTGAGGGTGGCACCGTGGCACGCAGAGAAGTCCCGCTGACGGACAGGATTCCGTAACTTCGCTCTCAGTGAGATAAGAGCGAGACGCGCAGCCTAATGTCAATCGGACAACGAGCGAAGATCATTGGCGTCGTTGTCTCCACGACCGATCGATCTCAATCCGAACCCCCCACGATTTCCCGCACGGAATTCCTCCACAAGACCGCACCTGCAATCTGATTGGAACCTCTCGCCAAACAAATCAAACCAGGCGGCTTCTTCCCTCCCTCCCTCACCGGACCACGTTCAGCGCTGTCGTCCCTTCCCTCTGTTGTTGTTATGCTTTGGATGGCAAGGAAAATTCTTATTTCTGGGGCATTACCGGATCAGACCTCGAGCTTCAGAGAGCCAGTAGAGCCGTCGGTCTTCCGAACTGAACCCAAGCTTGAATCTCGACTACCCGCATCGGAAGACTTGTGCGCGTGGCTCCAGCGGCGGGCGGGACGTTCTCTATTCTCTTGTGACAGCCCCCACTCCTCGCAGGGTACACATCGGAAGACAGCGTTGTCACCTGAATCCGGGCGAATTCTCGCCACCGTTCGTACTTCAACAAAACAGGAACTCTTGTGATCACGTTTCCCCATTCGCTGAGCCGGACTGGAGCGAGCTAGCCGCAACTCGCGGGAGTGAGTGCTCACGACTCTAACAGCTGCTGAACTCCGCATGGAATGCGTGATAGTCCTTTGACACCCTTCACGTGGGCCCAGTTGTGCCATGAGCCGTCTCTAGAGATGCATCCCCGAAATTAATCGATCGAGAGCGCAGGAGTCTGAGGACCAGTAAGCTAAAAAAATATGTTCCTGACTCGAATCAAGAAGAAGAAATGTCCGATTGGCAGGCAACCAAGCTTCGAGAAGACATGCAACGATTCTGGAACGAACGAAATGCTCGCCGGTGGAAACAGCAGCGATGAAGGTGGGTTTTTGGTGACTTGGACGTCACGTCTCTTCCTCCGACCCCTCCGAACAGAGCTCCTCGATCCAATTCCTCAATCAACGCTCATTTTAGCGGCCCTGATCGGTCGGAGGAGTTCCTTAATTGCGCTTTTGTACGAAGCGACCCCGAAATTTCGATCGTAAATTCCATGTTGAAGAAATTATACGCTTCCGCACGCTGACTCCCGGCTAGTCAGGATCGGATAATTTCACCTCCGAGTGCGGTCGAAAGGGTCCAGACCGAGCCCCGGTGTTTGAGCTGCGTGCGCGAACCAAACAGCGGGAGCCTCTTACGATCGCGACAGCCTCTCCACAGGGACAATTGCGATTGGACCAGGAGCCTTACTCACTAGAATTCACTCCTGCTCGGATTACGAGGAGAAGACGTTCCAGTGAAATCTCATGATTCCAATAGCGGTTTTCGGAGCGAGCAGCAGCGCTACCACGCGGTGAATATCGGTGTTGGTGGTGAAGACCCCCGATCCGCCGCTGCTCTCCTTCTTGCCTTTGGCGCGTCGGAGTGTTATTGTTGCGAGGCGATTTCGTCTGCTACGCTTTGGCTGCCGCCACCCGCCACTCACATTGACTGCCGCCGCCGCCGTCGGCGACGACGACGACCGATGCGCTCTCTCACCAATGAACAGCCGTGTCAGTCTCCTCGGACTCTCGGTCCACAGCGAAACGTTCATCAGTAGAAGCCGCGGTAGTTCATGACAGAGTTGATCTCTTGCCGTGTCGAGTGAGCTCGTTGCATCGTGGTGGTTAACCAGTTGGCGTTGTATCATTTCCGTCTTCGCTCAGAGCACTCACTGGAAGCTCATCGATTCGTCGAATAGTCCGTTCGAATTAGACTTTTTCTCTGATTCTGCTCAACGGTCTACGGACGGAATCTCGCCAAGCATGAATCAGGTCCATGCTAGCGTCATAGTGGGCCCTACGCTCTCTGACGTTTCGTATACACCCATCAGGATATTACAAGGTATGTGGCTGTGCGCTCGTCTGTTGCTCCGAGAGGTTCGGATAGATGGAATTCCGCCGAAATTTTCTGCGTTGTGCTACATCCAGTGAGTGGAATATCGATGGCCGGACTTGCGACCGCGTTGAGCTCTCAGATCAACTCCGTCGTTTCTTTCAAGCGGTGGTATTTCATCCCCGCATGCTGACGCTACACTGTCACCGTAGGACGCTGTAGGACCGTGGAAGGACGAGTTTTTCTCTTTCATTGGGTGTCGCGGGAACAGCCATGAGGGTGCAAAATTAGAAACGTGAGTTTTTGCTTCCCACGCTGTTCCGGACAGTCCCAACCGGCAGACAATGGAGAGTCTCGGGCTTAGTTTCGCGATGGCAATTTGCACTTCGGAATTCCCTCTTTGAACCTGGTCAGCCTTGACCTCCATCTGAGTGAGACGATTCATGAAGAGCCACCGCTTCCGGGCTCTAAACGCGAAGTAGCCGGTATGACTCATCACGTTTGAACAGTGGTTCATATCATGACTGCCGGCTTCCGATGAATGGACATCCATGAGTAGAAAATGCCGCTGCCTTCCGAACTCATCGTGAATTCTGCCTTCCAGATACCGAGGACGCTTCCGAAACCGAAGTATGCAAACGAGAGGAGGAGTTCCACGAAAAAAAGGAACAGTACGTACGCTCATGGACCGCATCCCCGGTGAACAGGGATCATCCGAGAGCTTCCATGTTCTCAACGCTTGAATATCTCGAAGGAAAATGGCTAATCCGATTGCGTTCCACAGGTTATTCTTGGAGAAAGTTGCTTCCCTGCGGAAACAGCTACAAGAGGTGGCAGATGGTTCCCATCCAGAATATCAGCGGAGATTGAGGAAGATCGAGCTGATCCACCAGGAGAGGAACCTTTTCAATGAAGTTTGGCGACAATGCGAAATGGAGCGAGTGAAGAGCGATTGTGAAGCGGAGCGCGAACTCGCTCAGGCCGAGTTGGAGGAGAAAACGCTCGAATTGCAAGACGGCCTCGTCACCGAGTACGAAGAGAAGCGACGTCATGTGGAGCTCGAGAGGAACGTCGTTGAGCTCACAGGGGACTCATTGGAAGTCAAAACTGCGAGTACACGGAAACTCCGACGCCGACCCAACGACCCGATTCAACCCTTGACGCAAGAGAAACGGCGGAAAGTATCTCCGAGTCAGTTGAACCTCCTGCTCGACGAGGGGGAAATTCTCGAAGACCTAAAACTGATCCAGAGATGCAAACCACCGCACGGCCGAAGAGGTGAGTCTGACGCAGCGTTGGGCACGCCGTCAGGGATCATAATCCCGATGTCATCTAGATGCGGATGAAAATACCCTCCCTCTGTTTTCAGGCGAATATGACGTCAACATTCAATATGTGAGCTCATCTCCACCGGCAGTCACCTCCCAGGACGCAAAGATCGAACACAACAAACTCTTCTACGATAAGAAGTGGCATCATCGAGGTCAATGCGTGTGTGTTGAATCTCGAGAACACGGGCGCTTCAGCGGGACCATCGAAAACATAGGCACTGCCGAAATCAGCGTCAAGAAGATTTCTGACGGATCTAAAGTTCGCGTCACGCTGGTCATGCTGCAGCGGGGGAAGGTCGTCTTGCGGAGAAAATCGTAGTAATTCAGCTCGGGTGGGCCGCGAGCCCGTCAAATAGACAATCGGTCGGACTGACTGACTGAGTGACTTATATATTGACCGTCCGACCAACTCACTGAAGGCTCTTACCCTATACGATGGAAGTCGGAACGAGGGCCTGGTCGCTGCCGCGGAAAGCTCTCCGGTCCACTTCGGTGAAAGCCGTTGACTCCGATCGGAAGGTTGAACTGTGACTCTAGCTCACAGACATCAGCGGACAGGAACGCCGTCGATTCCGGTCTCGGAGGGCCTCATGACGGAGGGCATCCGAATGAGGAAGCTGTCTCGAAAGTCTTAACGGGATTTTCGCCTCGTGAGGTTAGTCCACATGACGGTGCTCATGACATTTTCGACCGCGCATCACCGCCTCCGAATGGTAGAATCGAAGATGTTTCGATGGAGATACGGAAACTCGTGTTCGATTCCCGATCCATTTGACGCTCGATTTCAGGAACCGACCGAATCCCCACCCCGAAGGAGGCGCGACGACGTGCTCCGCACCTTCCATTTGGAGGACTCGATCGATAGCGATTTGACTGGTGTAAATGAGCTGTGAATTTTACATTTGTGGATATGTATGAGCATCGAGGCTATGGTCGTTTCCCGGTGCTACCAAGGTACTGGGAGTTCTGGACAATTTTTTTATTTGACTTCCCAGTTATTCGAGTCATCTCGCTTGATTTCCTCTGTGGTTCGTCCAGGAAGGTCTCGTACCGCAAGAGGAACCCCCCGTGCATCCATTCAATGTTTTGTGAATCTGTGCGTCGTCAAAACATCGAGACCTCCGATACGCGGAGACTGCCTGTCGTTACTTTAATAAGATACTTTAATTTATAGAGTTTTTGCTAGAATATATCTATCGAGATCCCATGTCTCCTAAAATCGGACCTCCCTCAGACTGTCGGGGATGTTCATCACCGCCGATAGTATCGTTTACGCACAAGGAATGTGTACAGGCAAGCCGCGAGATCTCAGAATAAAGAGTCTCTTATTCTGTTCATGAGTCGGGTGTACTGGCCAACATAATTACCTGATTGCAGACTGGTAGAGACCGCTATTAACCAGAGGTCTAATCACAGAATCCCTGAGCATGCGCTCTCCGAGATCCGGGCCCTTTCAAACCAGAATCTGATCGCCTTTTCTGAACTCCGGAACCTTGTTATTGTGTTTCTATACGAAACCTTCGTTCTGTTTCGCGCAGACTTGATAATGTTCTTCCTTTGAGGACCTTCTATCATGCAGCCGTATCTAGGAGAGGATGCCTCATCTCTCGTCAGCAGGCAAAACCGATACTTGACCGTTCAGCGCAAAGAGGGGGGAAGACCCAATCGACTTACACCTCGAGCGATAATGGTGTCGAACTGCTGCGTAAAGGGCAACTTTCCACCTGCCACGCAGGTCAGAATACATCGAAATGGATGTCTTCAAGCCTCGAATGAGTCTTTCAGCTAGACCATTCGACTGAGGATGGAAGGGACTTCCAACCCGGAGGGGAATTCCTTTCCGTTCCGTCCACTCTTTCAGGCGTCTCGATTAAGTTGTTCCGATTGGTACGATCCGGATTACTATTTAGTGCATACATCGGAGGTCTGACTGCGGGGTAGCGATTAGCCACCCTCTGTATCGAGGAGGATGCGAGGAAAAATCTGCCGCGTGTGAGTGGCGTTCAATTGACGATGATTGAGGGTGAATTTCGGCCCCAACTGAAGAAAGTTCCCGCCCATCAGAAACACCGGATCGCATATTCCAATGACGACTCGTCACCGAATCCTGCAGCCGCAACGCGTCATATAGAGAACTTTCTCATCTGATAAATTGCAGTCAGAAAGAGAGAGACTCCAGGGAGCGAGCGTGGGCGGTGATCACAATAAATTCATTGTCCGAAGAGGAAGGAGAGCAGCTGCGATGCAACGATGAGAGGTGATGATGAAGACTGGGCCATCCCATCCGAGAGACGCGAATATTTCGTGTGTCCCTCCCTGGATGAAGCCTGGTGGATATTTTTCCGCGATTCCGGGGCACAAATACGGAATTCACTGGATATCTTGGCTGGATATACGGGCAGATGTTTTACGTTCCCGTGTAGGTGCTGTATGTAGTCCATAAAGAACGAGTGCATTGTAGGCGGGTAGAGGATGCCGACAATAATGGTGCGGAGGCCGACTGTGGGGCCATCTGCCTGCTGACGTCGGAAACTCCTGCAACCCCTCAAGAGCAAACGAGCGCTCCAGCGCAGACCCGAGTCCGCTCTAGTTTTTGTCTGACTGGCTGCTGCAGCGCGTGTGCTAGTTTTGCTGCTTCGATCAGTTTCGTGGAATCCGTATCCGAAAGCCGGCTCAAAGGGTAAGCTTCTCAACTAAACTGGGTGACGTGCGGCACAGCAGGGTCGCTCATCTCCCTTGACGCGGGTCCCGTACCAGACGAGCGATACGAATCACGGCGGAAACCCTTGCGCTCGAATCAGTGCATTCGATTTCCCAGATCAGTAGCCTACGAGGTTCAGATAAGTACCGGCGGACTGATCAAGCGGGAACACCCGATTCTTCCGCAATGTTGTCCACGTCGAGAACTCGAGAAAGGAGTGGGGGAGGCTCTTCTAGCCAGTACCCGGGGACTCATATCAGAGCGCGATCGCCTTGCGCGGGACACCCATACTCTGCGCGGCTCCGAGGCTCGACTCGCTTCCGCGGACATAGTCATAGCTTCAGAGAACCGCGCATTCGATTTCGTATCCGACTGAAGTTTCGAGAGGAGCCACATTCGGACAAATTATATTTCACTCGCTCAATTCTCGGGATATCGGAGAATTGAAAAGGGAGGTCTGCCTCGTCATTATCGGACGAGAAGTTTCCAAAGATCCTCGTTTTGACGAAACTCCATGAAGTCTTTACGAACCGACGTCGAGGCCGTGCGACGCCTCCATGTTCAGTAGAAACCATTTACGTCCAAATCGGACCCGGGATCATCTGGAAAATCGTTGCCTGAATACACAGACGATGAATTTCACGAGGAATATTTCAATTTAGACTCCGAGGCGAGCTTTCTGAGAGGGTTACCCACAAGGTGGAAGCAGTGGAATTTCACGGTGAATCCGGCGACGGAGCTAAAGAGCTCCGACAAAATTGAGGGTTGTGTCAAACCCTTGCATCCGAGTGAGCCACACCGTTAGTCGTCGTGCTGTGGTTTTGAAACTGTCGTGATGCATGAAGCGCCTCCCCTTCTCAAATCGAGCACGCTAAAACGCGTTCAGACGAGAAGCGATTTGCCGCTGACGTCGCATTTTTCCTCGGGAAATTTCCGAAACACTCGAAAATATTGTGGATGCTCCGCGCCCATTTACCGGTGTGCCCGTATTCCTCTGCAAGAAGCGCGTACTTCGCGGAGTTTCCCGGCAGAGTCGGCAGCCGCAATGGGACGGCCTTCAAAGCGACAGCCTCGGAAATCGAGTTTAGTGCCCTGAAAAACGCGGTTAGGGTCCATTCCGAAGGACAGATCACCTTCCGGTCTCAGAATAGATCTACTGCGGCTAGAGTAGTAGATTTAAATAGGCGGGGACAGTCCTGACATGTTCGCATCGGAATCAAGCACAAGGTCAGAGTCGATACTAGGCTCGCTCCACAGCATTCGGAGCACAGTCGGAGCTTCGTCTTGTGAAATCTTCGGTTGGAATTCCCCAGCCAGTTCTGACAGAGATTCTCTCCAAAACAGCCTCGAGAAGAGAATTCGTAGAGAATTCAACCGGCGTTTCCTTTTTGTCTCATCCCGAGGCCTGCGTCCTCCCCGCGAGCTCGCGGTTCCTCTCACGTACATAGCGTTTCTATTCCTCGGCGGTGGGCGAAACATGGTTTACAATGAAAGCCTCCATCGCATTGAATCGAAATAATATCACCGAGCATCCGCGGTATAAGTTCACGTTGGAGGTTTCGAGCCTTGTTCGCGACGGGCGTTGACAAGCTGGCCGTGTCCAGCGTGCGCCGGTGATCCACTCGTGCCCCAGCTGAGCCAAATGGACGATTCCAGGGGACCCAGAGTGGCCATCTCAGCGGGACACGCTAACACGTCAGAATGGACATTCTCTGGTTTAGGACAGACCCTCAGAATGAGACCAGATTGGAATTCGATGTCGAATGCATTGACTGTTGACCAGGCAAGGCACAAGAGCGAATTTCAAAAGTCGACACCGAGGTGAACGGCGGCGGGATTTTCGGGAGACAAACGTTTCTCGAAACGACCTGAGCCAATTTCATGGTCGCGTGGTCAGTGTCCACAATCGCTCGGCCTTCGACTCCAATGGATTGGCTCGTGAAAGGTCGTCCGGAGTCCTGAAAAGTCCCAATCGAACGAGCTGCAGTCGGTAGCGATATCGGATTTCCTATGCAAGCCCTGCTGCGAGACTACTGTCCCAGTAAGCGACTCTCCTGGTACCCGAGACTTCATGACGGGAGGATGGGAGTCATGGTATTCGCACTGACCTCCATATGACACGCGAGTTTATTGAGTGAATTCTATTCGAAACTACGGGCCGAACTGTCAGAGGATGTAGCGGCTTTCTTCCAATGTGAAGTACCGATGTAAGAGAAGTTTCGAAAAGACGCAGAGCAATGACAGTACAGAGGGATTTCCGACCTCGGACTCGTTCAGAGACATGGGAATGGTGACGAAATTCGATCGCTGTAAATCTAGGTCCCGTTCTCCGGATTCAAGGACGTTCCTCCGGTCCGTCCTTGAATTTTCGATTGTCATCGAGAGCAGATGCACAAACGTATTCCTCCTCCGGTCAAGGGGTTGAATAGATGAGCGAGTTCGGAACCGGATCCTGACCCGGAGTAGTCTCGCAGGAGGAGGCTCCGCCGAATATCCCAGAATGACCTCGAGCCGCGCCATCCGCGGGACTGGATACTTCAGGATTGAGAAAGAAGGCCGGTTGACTGGACATGGTACGGGGCTTTCTACATTCCTATATCGCTGATGTCAGAGAGGTCTAGGGAGTGAGGAAAAGAGAAGATCGGGAAAACGACCACTCGGAATCTGGCATCATCCAACGGGAGACTTCTCTCGCCGGGGCCGTTTCGCGCCGCTGCGACTACCGATCCCCGGCAGCCAATCCTCGGTCCTTCGCCCTGTCATGGACTCTTCGAGAACAGGATCGATCAAAGGATGACGCGGTCTGCCTTTTTCTTGTCTGTCGGCGAGAATCAGTCGCATCCGTTCTAGAAAGTCAGCAAATGTCTCGCGAATGCTACGCTCCCACTCTGTGGTACAACTTCAGAGCGTTCTTCCTTCTCCCTCTGGCTTTGTGCTTATGCGGTTCCCCTGTGTATCACCCGCAAGATTCTGTAGGTTCTCTCGGAGCCGGCGCAGGCATTCATCCGGCTCCCTCATCGCATCGAAACCTCAGGCGAGAGATTATACATTTCCCCATTGCCCTTCCAGGACATACAGCACCAAAATCGAGGGAAACTACCCGCTCGGCCATTCTTGAGAACTTAAGGGGTGAGAGAAATAAATTCCACCCATAAAGGCATGGCGTTCGCCGGTCTAAGGAAACAAATCAACAAAGCTAATCAGGTGAGTGGCCCCGGGGAGGAAGCAGACCCCAGCGACCACCGCACCCCCCCTCCCCCCGACCGGGGTCTTTTGAACGAGGAGCTGCTCTGAAACCTCTCGGAGCAATACCACAAGTTTCTCGAGGATCAGAACGCGACCGACTTTCAATGTGGGACGGAACCCGCAGCAAGAAATATTCAACGACGGAAGCGTTCGATAAAAGCCATATTTCAGAGCAAGGAGCAACTTGAAATGTTTTTTCCGGCTCTGGCGACCGGCAGAGCTTCCGTTCGCGGAGAGCCTTATCGGGATACGGAGCTTCCTAGCTTTGACGGGCTGGACTTTCGAAATTGCACTGCGGCAAAACGATCTTACGGACCACCTGTTCTGTAGATCGCTCTACCCGAAGTCCTCTCTACCCCGTTTGAAGACGAATTTCCCTCACGATAAAATCATCAAGTATGTCATTAGCATGATTGGCCCTTGACGACCATCGAGCGGAGCTTGGCGGAGACGCAACAGGAGCGTGAGGTCCGCGCGTTCATCCTCATAAACTCCGCTGTTTTCATGGTGGCGCCTGCCACTCGTCGAGTCCTTCCTTCTTTCGTGATTCGTTTCATTTACGACGAGAATGTTAGGGCTGGGGCAATCACACTTCCTCTCTTCCCGGGGTGAATTAGCGCTCCAGTGGAAAACATTCGAGCCATCACGATTCGGGCACGGAGTGTGACCATACACCCACCTGAAACTCGCTCGTGAGTCCTTGCCATACTTGATAACGACCTTCGATATTCTCTCTTCCAGTATGTCAGCGAAAAGATCGGAGGTGCGGAAGGCACGAAGCTTACCGAGGATTACACTCTCATGGAGAAGGTGAGTGCTGCTCCACGAAGGATCTCCCGGGATCGATGCGCTCATGCATCAGTCACTCACTTAGCTCGTACTTCATTGGCTTACTCCGTATGATGAGAGCATTACGTCGAGAAAATGAAGGGCTCGTATCAGTGGGACTTTCCGTCTCTGGGAAAGAAAAACGCCAGGAGAATCACTTCAGCTGCTAGCATCCCTCACTCAGTCAGATGATTTGATTTTCTGCGATCGTCGCGAGCTCCCGACGAAGTGCGCCATCTGGTCCCCTTATCTCCAGCACGGTCGATGGAATGAATGCTTTCGGTCTTCGGAGCATCGCCACCGTTACAATGAGCATGGGCGCACTCCGGGAGATCTTTTCCTCCTCTAAAATAAACTCCGTAATTCGCTAATTAGCGCAGAAGCTGCAGCTCTGACCGGAAGAGAATGGAACAAGACGGGGGACACGCTTCCCGTCCGTTTTAAAGTCCGCCTGCCTCCCATTCCTAATCTTCGTGTTCCTACGCGGACACGACATTCGACAAAACCGACGAGCGGCTCCGTGAGATGTTCGCTCCCCGCGCGAGCTGCTCGCTTCGGCTGCCGCTATTCGCTAGTTAGCGAGCCAGAATGGCCGCTGAGACCTCTGTCGAATAGGAACAGAAAATACTCGAGCATTTCACAGGGCCAATCCCTTGTATTAATTGCGATAGGTATCAGGATTGTCCTGATCGATTCCGAAATTAGGACAACAAGGGGCAATGGCCACCAATCGCTTTGAGTTTGTCTTGTTCGTTCGCGGAAAGTAGTTGTAGGCTTCCGATGTTCCCATCGCTTCCGGCTGCATTGGACGTCCAGACTGCGAGCCGGACCCGCTGTAGCGGAATAGGAGACATTCGCTCGAACAATTCATGTGATCGTTTGCTGGATCGTTTACAGAAAGTTGACCTCACCAATGAGCTGGTGGAACAGTTGATAACTCAGACCAAAGAGTTGCTTCAGCCCAATCCCGCAACGCGGGCGAAGCTAACAGTGAACGCAAGGCTTAGAGGTCCAACAGCATCAGCTGGGTCCGCTTCACACGCATATCCTCAACCAGAAGGAATTCTCGGAGACACCATGGTCAAACTCGGAACCGAACTCGGTCCGGAGTCCGCTTTCGGCCGGAGTCTCATCGAAACAGGTGAGGTCCTCTCCGCGTCTTGGTTGTCCGACCTTCTAGGCAAGTTTAGAAAGAAGGACAACAACTCACCTGCGGCAGAGGATACTTTATTCTATTTTTAGTCAGAGAGCGGAAACGTGACGCACGTGGCAATCGTGTCGCACGACAACCTTGCTCTCGCAAGCGGGAAAAAAACAATGTATCGCTCTCAGCCGACTTCGCTTCTGACAGTTCGCTGTCCTGAAGTGGAGCGCTGCTCCGCGAATTCTATGAACGACAGGTTCCGCGAAGGTTCTCGCAGGTCGGGCTCCGTTCCGGCCTCGGGAGGAGGAGGTGGCTTCCACTCTGTTTTAGGCACGTTGCTCCCCCTCCCATTCCAACTCGAGCTATCTCGTTGCAGGCGAATCTCTTCGGCAGCTGGCAGACATAAAATATTCGTTGGAGGATAATGTGAAACAAAATTTCTTGGAGCCCCTCACGCAGCTTCAGCAGAAGGATCTCAAGGACGTTATGTTTCATCGCAAGAAACTTCAAGGACGAAGGCTAGACTATGATTGCAAGAAGCGAAAAAGAACTACTGGGGGTCACGTTACCGACGAAGAGATGCGAACTGCCGGAGAGAAATTCGAAGAGAGTTTCAACCTCGCCTCACAGGTCAGTTTCCAGGGAACCTATCCGCCTTCAGACGCGGAAGTTCGCGCTTGGTCAGCTTCCCCGATTTCCGGGAATTTTGTTTCATTAGACGACTCGACGAGATAGGAACGCACGAGAACTTCAACCGGATGGAAGTCCTCGCTCTCGGATAGTCCTCGTTCAGGAACCACCGGAGCTATTCCCGAAACGTCACTCCCCGTCGTGGAGATGCTAAATGCTCCAGGGTGCGAGCGACTTTGGAACGATCTCATGCATAAGGAATTCGATCATGCTATTCCCGCCCCACTCGTTCCGATGCGGAAGCCGCCGCAGAAACTTCCTTCGCTCGTCGTCGCGAATGCAAGACGCGCCGACAACACATGCTTTGTCGCAACTCGCAACGATTCTGCATACGGCGATCGTGCTCCTACGAGTCCCGTTCGCGAAACGTACCCGTGCGGAACATGGTTCCTATGCGATCTGGATTCGATTACATTCCCCCGTTCCCGGAACGAGAATGCAGCTCGCGTTCGGAACGACTCATAATGCGAATGGAAGGTCTCAAAACGTTTCTTGTCCTACTCGCAGGGAATGTTCAACCTTATGGAGAACGATGTGGAGCAACTATCCCAGCTGTGTGCACTGATGGAAGCTTTCAGCGAGTATCATCAACAATGCGCGGAGACACTGGCGCAACTCACTGACAAACTCCAAGACTTGCGACACGAAGCTTCTGCTAGGCCAAAAGGTTCTTTCGAACCAAAGAAGCTTTCCGAGCTCGACCTGCAGCCTCTTGATTCAGGTCAGTAAAGCAATCCACTCGGCGTTACCGAGCGGCCAGTTGCTCTTCCGAAAGAGCCTCGTTCGTAACGAAGGATATCGCTGTTGGAGAAAACCCATGAGTACCTCGAGAAATAATCCATGGTCGAGCTCTTGGTCGGAGTACGAATCGTCGTGATCAGCGAGAAGTTCCCTCTCGCAACAGTAAATTGTATTTATGTAAATGAGACGGCGTGACGTGTTGCATCTGAGGCGCGTTTCCTCGAGGCGTATAATTCCGGGCGGTAATCTTCTCTAGTAATGAGCCAGGAAGATACCGTTGTCGGGAACGCGCGCTCGAAATGAGCGACAAACACCTAGACTTCCTTCCGCATCGTGAGGAAATTCCATAGCAATCCATGCACTAGACAGCGAGTCAAAGCTGAGTCCTCATGCTATGCTCTCGTCGTCACGCATCGGTTTGGATGTTGATTCACTTGCGACGGAAGCAGTCCCGACCCTAATGATTCGTCCCCGCCTTGCGCGGTCTGACTCGAGCCCACGGATCGAGCCACTGAGCGAAGGGGGAAAGGATTCTTCGTAAGAGCTCTCGACGTCCGGAGGCTCATGTGAGCGATCACGGAACGCGAGCTCCTGCGTGGAAAGCTCAGTTCGGTGCTCAATTTCTAGGTCGATGAAGCGCGAATCCGAGCCGTAGAGACTTACCAAACGAGACCCCCTGGACATGCGGAGGGGGATCTTGTGCTTGCATAGTGTCTCATAGATAGGATGCCCAGGGGTGGAGATTGAATTTACCGTCAGTCTCGCCTTGTTAGGGCATTCTCCCTCGGACTCCAAGGGAGTTGGGGGGCAGATAGAAGAGCTCCCAGCAATTAATTGATCACTGAAAATTGGATAATGATGGGAGAATAGGTGCTTCTGTACTCCGAGGTGTCTCCTGCATCTTTAGATGAAGCTAATTTTTTATCGCTCCTTAAGGTCGCTCACCGCTTCCTTCGCCAGGAGGCACTACTCCCAGCCAGCAGGGCAACATGTACCTCGGCAATTTCAACCAGCAAAACAGGAATGCCCGATCACCTAACGGTATGTTCACGTTGAGAGACGTCGGCGATTGAGCAGCACTCCTGATCCACGAGGAGGGGGCTCGACCCATCGAAATCATCGAAAGATCCTGTTCCTGAAGTTCTGGTCCCACTCTTCTAGCTTCTCCGATGCCGTCACCGCTTAGATCTCCTGCCGCCCCGACTCCAACAGCGCAGAAGAAACCTAGTTGTCAAGCCTTGTATGACTTTAGCGCCGAGAATCCAGGCGAGCTCGAGTTCAAGGTGAGAGATAGCTGTTTTCATTGCTCTCTTTTTCCTGATGACGCTGGGAACTTCATTTCCGTCTGTCGCTTCCAGGAAGGAGATAAAATCGAATTGATCCGTCAAATCGACGCAAATTGGTTCGAGGGCTCCGTTAACGGGAAGTCAGGACTCTTCCCGGTGAATTACGTCGAAGTCCTCGTACCGTTCCCGTAAACAGGAATAACGTAATTGTGGAACCGCTCCCCTACGGGGAACACCTTAATTTCCGACTGCTGCCGGTCCGCTATTCGGCTTACGATTCAGAACTCAGGTGACTCGGAGAGATGATTGATGGAGGAAATTGTTTCATCACTTGATGGGTTTCCCAAAATATCCCGCAGAGAATTTCGAATCGAGTTCCCAAATTGACAACTGCTGGCCTTTTTTCCAGAGAATATCGTTCCGATAAAAGTCAAGCGATGAGGACCTTCATCGAGGGAAACTCTGAAAACCGATTCAGTTTTGCTGCTCAGCAAGAGCTCGGTGGACTCTATCAGCGAACTCATCGAGTGCGTTTGCCTGCTGCCTTCCTGAAGGTTCCGCAGATTTATGCCTCCTCCTTATCCAGGCGTGCATCTTGATTTTACTTACACTTCACGAGAAATATCAAGAACACACTATCCGTAGTGTGGCAATTGAGCGCTTTCATCAAGAGAATATACCTACTAACGATCAATATACGATTTCTTCAAATCGAGAGGAACTTATTACAAGAAAGGAACTCAACAGATCACGAGGGGGAAACTCCCGAGGAAAGTAAGGCATTCTCGAACAAAATTCTGCTATTATCTTCGCATGAGCCCGAAGAGCGGGATGTATTTCGCTGGAAAATAAAAGGCCTATGTCTCTTTCAGATAAAGATCCCCCGATTACCAAGTTAGGCCAGCCAGACTGTGTAGCGCATTCTCGCGCGTGCTGACGCACGTTCAGCTCCTGCGGTGTCAGCCCCGACTTTGGGGCTTGCTGCCTTCTCTAGAAACCTATAGTACCTACACTATAAGCATCGAGAGCGCTTGTCTTCTCAACGCATTCAAAGGATATCCCTTCGATATCCATTACTTCCTCTCCACCAGCTGCTTCACGTTTAAAATCGATTATTGTTACGCAAGCCTGCCTTCGTTATTCCTCGTGTCTCACTTAGTGAAGACGACTCGACCCTTCTTTCTGAAGTTCTAATCTTGGAAGTTCGCTCACTCAGTCCAACCGCGAAGACTTTGGGCTCGGACGGTGAGTTAGGCGACCTCTACGAGCTCATCGATTTCAGTGCTGATAATTATCGACGTGGCAGGGGCCCTATAAACGTGAGCGATAACGGAAAATGACGGATGAACGAGTATTGAGTGTGGTCAGACTACGATCGTGCACAAAATCGTGCAGAAAAGTGCCTCTGGAAGTTGAGTTCACGTCTCTTACGTCATTTCGACCAATAAGACCGTAGCAGAAATCCCGCCTATCAGTATACGACTGGATTCCTATAATTATTCTGTTGAAATAAAGTCTGTGGAGAGTGATTTAAGCAATTATTATCGAGCAGTTCTTCAGTCCGTGGTGGCGATGTAGGCTGATGCGAGCGGTGTTCCTCCCGCGAGTAGAACCAACTCTGAGCATCGACATGTCCAGGAACACTGGCTCACGCTGCGCGATCTTCAGTGGGGGTGCGATTCTTAAGCAGTTCGGAGATGGCGGGAAACGGCTGATCGGGATATTGCAGTCTGAGATTAAGTTCAGGTTTGGAGAGTTTACTTCGATGAGTCGAGAACATGAGGAAAACTGCGACGGTCGCTTTTGCACCGAACGTGCCGATTGGGTAATCGTCGTGAATTACTCTGGCAAGCAGAGTGAGCCCGATCAACGGAGGAGATCTATCGAAAAGCGATTCCGGCTTCTTCGAATTTTCGAGACATCAGGCTCCCCGACTCAAGGGCTGGTACATCTCAGGATGAACAGTCGCGACATGCTCTCCATGATCATTTCTACAGTCTTGAAGATGCTTCTCCATTCGAGTCACTCTCTATGATCAATCATTGAAGAGCACAACCGTATCGCGAGACTTTAACCTTTATCTCTTATTAGCAATTCCTTGGCAATAGCCAACTTCGCGTCGATTGCGAATTTCCAAAAATCGTGGCAGTATTTCGATAGATTCTTTTTCGCCAAGTCCTCTAACATCTCAGCGTGAGCGGCCTCGTATAGTTTGATCGCCTTCGCTCTCTTGAGGTCTCTCCATTTTTCCTTGAAATAATCGGGTTCGGTTCGGTATACGTACGGCAGGCAATCCTCTCGCGTTGTCGAGGCTCCTTGAGTGGTTCCCCACGCGTCGCTCGGGACCGAGGTTATGGTTGTCGGTGTCGCCACCGCCGCGGTAGTTGTCGTCGCCGCACTGGTAGCTGACGTAGCTGGTGTTGTCGTTGTCGGAGTTGTCGCTGGAGGCGTCGTTGGAGTATCTGTCGTCTCCGGAGCGATCGTTGTCGTCGTAGTCGTCGTGGCCGAAGAGGCCGTCGTGATTGGAGTACCGACACCTGTTGATGGTACTTCACTCACGATTCCCTGGTCGTGATCCGTGACGGCTTCATCGAGCTTGCTCTCCATGACGGTGATGTTTCTCACGAGAGTGGTGCTTTCCGGGCTCATCATGCTCACCGTCGTCGCGGTAGTCTTCACATCTGCGACCGACGCGGATTTCCAACCTGGGGAGAGAATTCCTGTGATTAACCCAACCTGCTTGAGTCGCCGTGATCCGGAAGGTGGAAGATCCCGAATTCGGGAGAGGACTCACTGTAAACCACCTTGGCAATCAAGAGGAGAGTAGTGAGACCACAAGCCCAACGGCAGCAGGTGCGGCAGAAGCCGGCACAAAGAAAAAGATTGAAGATCTTGGATGCACTGCAATGAAGTTAACTTTTGTTAGATTTCCGAGCGAGATCAAGTCCCATCGTGCCGACTCTGGTGAGGCGGGGAATTCCAGATAGATCATGGTAGCCGATCCGAGGCTCAGGTACGCTATTGTGAGTCATTGTGAACAACGCTGGACCACAACCCCGGCCATGAAGAGCCTTACGCCATTCTGAAGCGATCTCTCGCCGGCCTCCCTCCCGTTCAACTTCGTCTTCCAGGGAGGTTTGTGACCCTTTCAGAAAGTTCTGAAAAATACAGACATACATACATGTATAACGATTCGTCTGTTATATACAGAAAAAGTGCATCCTGAAGCCGGGAGAAGGCGGAGCCGACGAGGCGACGTTTTGTGGAACGAAAACCTACCGGATTCATTAGGATGGGATCAGTTCCTCTGGACTCCGCTGGAAGACCTTCTGTGTACTTATTCCTAAGTCTATAGGGTATGTGCACGCTACGGCAATGCTTCTTAGGATCGAGTGTGGGAGGGTGGCGAGCGAGCTTTCGAGTGTTGCTACTTGAATATGGGATGACGTTCCGAATGCGAAATACTTCGGAAGCATATCTCTGGAAGGTTGCATATAGCAAAACTCGGCTCTGGACGAGGGGGGGAGACATTCCACTCGAGGCCCCGCCGATACCATACCTGAGGAATGAATGACACACCGCTAGTCGGAAGGACAGTCCTCCGAAGAACATGAAATGCGCGCGTCCAACTCCCCCATTAAGCCCGCACCCGTGATCTAATGCTCATGAAGTTTTTCCACTCCTGGAATTTCCCCTTCAGCACAAGACGAACGTCTTCCGAGGAGAATCATGGTGAAATATTAGGGAACGACACCCGGATCACCGCCCGAGTGATTCCCCATTGGAAAGTTCCACCGGATCCGGAGCTCAAAAGTTGGCGCCAAGCCGCTCCTATGTTTTGAACGAGGAAAGATGGCGCGCTGCATAGCCGGGATTCGAATATGAGGAGAAGACTCTTCGGAATGATTGTCTGAAAATTCTGTGAGAGGATTTTCCGAATCGAATTTACGGAGACCGTCCAGGAGGGAGCCGTATCTAGGAATCTGATGACTTGACTCCGAGTCTGCCGGAGAATGGCCATGCCAGTTTCGAGCGCGGAGGATACGGTGCGGTACCGGGTGTTCTGTTCGGTGAAAGCAGATGCGGAAATTTCGACCCGAGAATCTCTGACACAACGCTTAGCGTCGATCGAAAAGAAGATTACGCCGAAAATAAACTCATACATATGGCACGTGGAGCAGCTGAAGCTCCGCGTCATAGAAGCTCCTGATCGTTCATCGAACGGAAGCCAAACCGACGATGGGGAGCAAGTCATCGAAGCACATCTCGGCGGTAGCGTGTTTTACGGAGAGAATGTCGATGATGAATGGTTCGTGGCTCATCTCTTCCTCGAGCTGACCCGGGACGACAACGACTTGGTGGTTCAGATCGACGACGAAGACGGTGACATATTCCTCATCGAAGCTGCGCATTGTCTGCCAAAATGGCTCAGCCCGGAAAACGGTGCCGACCGGGTATATTTGCATCGGGGCGCTATTCACATAGTTCCAACCGATATCATTCCAGAAGACGAACTCACAATCAAGAAAGCCGTGGCGCTGGTGAGGTCAAGTCCGGCGAAGACGGTCGCCTCTTCGAGTATCCAGCAGGCGATCCGATGCAAGACAAAAGACTTCGAGACCCCCGCGACCATGCGGGGCGTGAAGTTACATTTAGCAACGCTGTCGCTACCGATCAAAGCGGCGCAAATGCTCCGCGACGACCCGAGTGTCGTCTCAGATGCGATTCGAAGCTTCACTCTCAGAACACCTCTTGACGATAGAGCTCTACGAGCCATGAAACATTTTCCGCCGGAGGTTTGCGTTCGCCGGAATGTGCTGATGACCCGTTTCAACTACGCGATGTTGCGACACGATAACTACGCTCCAAACCCCGTCACAGGATGGAAGATTCCGATGTGCAAGGCTCGTGACAGCGCGGAGTTCATCGAAGCGGATCTCGGGATGAAAATCGCTTGCGGACTCGAAATTTTATGCGTCTCGCTGGAGGAAACAAAAACGTCGCTTGACAAGAATGCTCGTTTCCTCCACTACGTCCGTCGTTTGAAGGAGCGAGGCTACTTCAAGGAACATCGGGATGGCTCAGGCCAATACGAAGAGCTATACGATAAAGCCAAAGGATTCTTCCTGCAGCAGGATAATGACGGTGAGGATCCCGAAACTAGTCATCAGCCGAGGGCGGATTTTCTGGAGAAATACCGATCCACTTCGGTAGATACGGCTCTTCTGACTGCGGAAGAGAAATCCCTCCAACCAGCCGATAGTGAACAGTGGATGACGCTGAACGACGAGCAACTCAACAGTCTCCTGAAGCAGTACACTTCGGGAACCCCAAGTCAGGCGTTGCAGGACGCCTTCAAGGAAGACACCCTAGTCAAGGAGATTACGGACGGACTGAAGAATTTCGTGGCTAAAGAGTCGCCGCTCGAGGGGGTGGAGCCTTCAAAGAAACTCGGAAACTCAGACGCTCCGCAACGACAACGTCGCGGAGGCAGAAAGCACAAAAAAACGAGTAAATCGAGTAAAGACACGCGTCAGACCGCCCCGCCCAACGCCACGGACGATATCGAAGACATTAGTGGTATGCTGAAGACGGTGCTCGATTTCAAAATTCCTTCCGAATCAGATTCTGATTCTAGCTCAATGAGCAGCTACGGCGAAGAGGGAGATCAGGACGACGAGCTCTCGAAGGACATGGTCGAATACCTGAGCCTCATGGATCGAGAGCTCGACGGAACTGCCATGGGCCAGAGTTTCGAGAAGAAAAACTTTCGTGGCGCTCCGAAGGCACCGAAGGAAAGCTGGGACGACGACGTGCCTGAAGTCGATATCCCACTCACTGCCCTCAAGAACATTCTTAAGTCGTCGGCGGCCGCGGGCTCAAAGCCGGGCCCAGCACAGAATCTCCTGCATACGATGGGACTGCACCTCCCCCCAACACTCGATAGCGACGACGATGCCGATGATGAAAATTAGCGCCGATGCTCCAATCTGATTCCTCCGAATTTTCCATGAGAACGAGTGGGATTTTGCGCGTGTCCGGATGGTTTGGATCGAAGTCAGAGTCAACGCGATCGTCATTTGCGGAAGCAAATCGTATGGATGTTCTGCGACAGATTTATATCCATACATGATGCATGACGTGACTGATTCGAGGACGGTTAACGCCACGGGACTTGGAAGTCATGCCGCATCCGGTCTGATCGTATCCCGTTCCAAACCAGCTCATCGATTATAATCGATCCACTGGTATTCACTAGGATTTCTGAGCCAGGCACTCGATTTTGGTGTAAATCGTGTGCAAGAGACTCGCAGAATAAAGGCGACATGACTTGTGCAGGCGAGAGACAAACTTCCTGATTGCTGTTCTTTCTCCATTCCATGACAGCTCCATTGTTCGTGAGTCAGCTCGAATATGATTCGTTTCCTTTTTCCCGCTCAAATCATCAATATACAAGTTTGTTTTTCCGAGCATTCTCTCTGTGTCTGAATTTCTCAATATTCCGAGCGAACCGCCGCAGAACTCCATTGGTAGTTTTCACCCGCCAAAAATGAATCTCGACCTTCGCAAGCTCTCCCTTTGACGTTCGGAGCGCTTTTGGTCTCCTCGAGATGTCTCTTTGTCTCTCTCAGAATCTAGATCGTGTAGAAACCGGCTCCTTCCGATCGTCTGAGAGAGACGATTACGTGAACCCCTACGATCTTTAGGAGCGATGTAAGCGCTATCCAGCGGCCAGGCGATTACAAAAAAACGAGCGAATAATATTAGCTCCTGGAACTATTACATAATATGGTCTGCATTCTCTAAAAGTCAGGTGGTCTAAGTCTAAGTCACCACGTGAGAGTCTGTTATTCTCTCTTTTGTGGCTTGCACTCGCAATCAGATTTTCTCTTTTCTACGACTGTTCCTATATGACAATATCTGTACGCCTTGCGTGAAGTGTGGCAGCAGCAGCAGCGGTAGTTGCGGCAGCCGCAGCACCGGACCCGTAGGTATTCGGCGGCGGTAGCGGTGGTGACGCATGCGCTGGAATCTGCCCTCGCCAAGGTCGGCGAATTACCTTCTCACTATCCACGCGGCTCTGTGCGCGCAACGAGACAAATCCGAAGCTGCCCCCAATGGGGCCCGAAGTGGTCCGGTATCAGCGGAATTGTTTCAGCGAAGCGTTTGAGACTTCGAGTCTGTTCGAATGAGTGGGCCCGTGCTCCGGGTCGTAGAGCTTGTTTTCCCAGTTTTGGTTTTCCTGGATGTATACGAGTGCCACTGGAAATGATGTGTCGTCTCTGAGAATGCCAATGGATTACCTCGGCTATCGACTGGAGAAATTCCAATACAGATTTAGCAGTTCGTTGACAGGCTCCGAGGAGCCTTATGTCACAGAGACTAGTTGTTGCGTGCCACAGCCTGTGTGCGTGGAAGGGATCTCTATCGGATTAAGCATCGAACAGTTAATTCCGAGTGTGGAAGCGACGTGAAATTTTCACGCTCTGACCCTCTTTTTCTCGGAAAACATATAACATTTGGATGTGCGCCTCGCTACAGGTGAGTCTACACGATGGTGCTTCGGCTGACGCTCCCGCGGCCACCGAATCAATGCGCTCATTCTCAGGCAGTTTAGTTAGCGGTTAATTCGCTCGACATGCTGGCTGGGCTGGAATGATTTTAATTGACGAGGTTGACCCAAGGTTGGCATTCTACTCATCGATAGAGCGTAACAGGCTACCGTCGTCGTAAGTCAAGGCGATTCGCTGTGACTGACTTGTTTATGAGATGCAAGTTCAGATCGCGCAGTTCGAATCCACGGCTCCCGCGATCGACTTGGCGGGACTCTGCAGAAAATTGGAAAAACGGAGCGAGAAGCTTTCTGAAGCCGCGAGAATTCAAGGGATCGACGTTCTACACGCTGAGACGACGCTCCCAAATATCGGAGAGATGGATGCTCCGTAGCGAATTGAGGAGCGACTCGGCAGAGAAAGACGAGAGCGAGCTGTGACGACACGAGAGTAGAAAGCACAGCTGCGAGAGGTCTAATGAACAGTGAATTATGAAACAGACGAGTCATACGAGACCAGAATTCCCTTCCGGAAAACGAATGCAGGATGTTCTAGGAGGGCTCGGAACTTTCGGCGGATCCAAAGCCATCTGAAAGTTCTGGTTCGAGTTCGTGGACCGTTTTCCTCCTCCAAGTCGCCGGTGGAACGCTACCGGTCGCGACTCCCTCTTCCGCATCGCTTTGAGGTCACGGACTCGAAGACCGCGATCCGAGTTGCGTGAACAGTTTGCCAAATACTTTGGTCGAGAGGGAAGCTCGTTCGTGGATCAGATACTTTTCTGCTCGGCTGGAATTCAGAGCGTGGATTTCTGTCATTCCAGCTGAGCTCTACCGGGACCCGGAGGATTTGATTCTACGAGTCTATGAGCCGAGCGGTTGCGCCTTCTGTGAGTGATCCTGGAAGGGAAAAACGCAAATCCCTGAGCCACTTGTTTCTGTGACAGTTCGTTCATGGTTCAGATCTTATCCGTGAGAAGAAGGTTTTCGATGAAGATCTCAGCTCGTCGAAAATCGTTCAATGCATTGCCCGTGAAGGAATCGGAGCAGCGATAAAAGATTGCCTCGGAAGTTTGGATTTTTTGAACGATTCGCTTCCTCAGCTCAGCGAAATGTTGCACATCGGACACGGCTGAGATAAAGGATTGCGAACAAGCGTTTGTGCCTTTACTTGTTATGTGTTTTCCCGCTTAGGTGAGTCGGCGAGTTATGATCTTTAAACTTTAACCTTCGCATCTGTCAGACTCGTCGGAGTGACTCCTCGAGCCGTATTTTGGAATTCTTTCACGACTCCGCTTGAAACTCGCGATGGGGATCATAGATAGTGGATGAAATTTTTTGATCGATAAAAATTGGTGAAAGTTTTGTGGGCCATTAATTCGACCATCTCGCTCGCCCGCAACGAAGTCGAAACCTCGGTGGGTATTTCCAGTGCTGGAAACACGGCGTAAAGCTCGATCTGCTAAGCGCAAGAATTTCTCCTTCATCGGCTCTGTGTAGACAACGCGAAAGACTCCATCACACTTGATCGTCATCTCAGGGAACGAGTCGCCATGAATTTTCAATCTGATCCCCGATTCAGTTATTCTCGATTTAACCAAGGACGCGGTGGTCAAGAATTTAGGCCACGGTCTACCCTTCAATAGACATTTACGGCGACACAGGCCTGTGCTCTCTTGGAGTAGGTTGAGGTCAAAAGAGTCGGAGCAAGCAATGACGCTCGATTGTGAGTCCCTGTTTTTGCTTCCATTTTCCCGCTGTCGACTAGCGACTACAGACTTCATTGCAGTCCGGAATCGGAGCCCACCCTGACACACAGAGGATTGAAAGGTCGAAGCTTCCCACGAGCGACTAGAAACAGAGGGGTTTGGGAGGGTTCAATCTCCTGTGGATCGCCCAATGATTCCCCGGATCTTCACTGCGGACGCATCTGAATGAAGCTGACCGCCGTTTCCGAACCCCGGGAGTATGCTCAGAATCCGAGACACTAAAACTCTGATAGAATCCTCCGAGGTTCCATTTTTGGCAAAGTTCGTGGCATCGATGATTCGGTCAATTTCTTCTGGAGACGTGTTTTCCAGCGGGGAAGTTCTGTGAGAAAAAACGCCGCATCCATGTTCCAATCAAGCGCCCTTATTGAATTAAGGGCCATCAGGAGCCGTTCGGATCTCTCAATCAGACGTCTGATCAAATTATCAATGAGCGCTTGGACCATTCTCCCAACATTCGGCAATTTCTCGAAGAGGCTGTGTACTTCTCGACTTGCACTTTCATATGGCATCATCAAAACGAATGGGAAGTCTGGAGATACAGTCAGAACTTCCGACGCCGAGGAGTAGCCGAGATATCGATTCCAGCCTCATCGAGGAACAAGCATCGGTAGACGAGACTTTTTCAGCGCTGCGGTTCCCGCGGTCGATTCAGTTCTGCGCAGTGACAGGAAAAGGCCGTGGAAAAGATTTCGGTTCCAATAGAGAATCCCTTACAATCCCACCCAGAGCCCGATCCCGACCCGGTGGGTTAATGTTATATCAAAGCTGCGGCCACGGAGTTCCGACTCCGGCAGAAACTCCGAGATCAATGCTCTCAATTGCTGCGAATCCGCCGTGAATGGACGGAACAGACGGGTTGTTTTCTTTGGGAGTTGCCCCCCGAACGCGTGCTCTCGGTCCTTTCTCTTCGTTGTGGAGGATGGAAGCTCAAAATACATTGTGGGGTAAGAGGAGCTCGAGTTTGGAGGAGGGCAACTCCGGCTTCTCGCCCACCGAGCCCATGTAAGCAATGGCGGCCCCTCTCAAACGCAGAACAGTCTCGCCTACAAACAAACGTCTGAGGAGAGCACGACTGGCTCTCGAGGCTTGGTTGATCGAGGTTCCGTGCGTTTCGTTTTGCTACAGCCGGGCTTCGGAGCACGAGCTAGTTCTTCAATAACAGTGACGTGCTATAGAACTGTCGTCGTACGGCATAGCCACATTCAAGGTGTTGTGCTCGGTGCCGTGTGTTCCCCGAGAAAACCATGGTGACATGAACAGTGATATTGCTTCCAGGCGTCCTATCGATTCACTCGAAGACTGTACCGGCGCCAGTGAACCTTCGGACACCCTTTTCTTCCTCACACGACAGTCAGCTGCTCAAGCAATGGTAAGTCGTTCTTGTTTTCTTCGATGTGGTTCAACTTGTTTAGGTAGCTCGGCCTTGATCCTCCTGGGTACATTTGCTCTATGGATCCGTCCTCGGAAGCAATGTGAATAACAGTACCCGGGACGTTAAACCTTGGCTGTGTGGATCAGCCCGAAAAAGTTTTTTTAGGTAGCCGGGATTGGAAACAGTGCACCGACGCTGTCAGCAGATTCAGCCGCTGACTGCGGCGAAGAACCGTTATCTATGTCCAAGCTTTCCCGCGATGTAATGATAGCCCGGTATTCG